GACGAGGGACGGTCAAAGGATCATTAGCTTCACATCACACGGCCAAACAAGGATATTACAGGATTCCTCCCACTTGGCTCCCACTACCCTACTTACTCTTGCTTCTGACTCATTCACCGTCTTTTCTGCACCCCGGAGCTGTTTATAGAGCCGAGTCGATCCACTGGTCGACCAAAACAGTTGGCTCCCCCCGTGAGTGTTCTGCCTCGAGGCAGCAGGACTGCAAACAACCTCGTGGCCATCCACTTTTTGTGCATGCTTTAGGTGTTCGCTTGCCGCATGCCCAGTGCTATCACTTCCCCCACCAAGTTCAGCACGGTCTCTGACCCCCGCCGCAAGCCCAGAACCCCTCTCACTCAGGCCGATTTCATCTTCATCGACGGCGATATTCCCACCGACCCAAACACGATGGAAAACGCCACTCGACGACCGCCCGTGCGCCTCAACGCCCAGGACGGGCCGTGGAGTGTCAGTGTCGCAGAGAATGCAGATGAACCGCGTTCGTACAGCTTGTACATCAAGAGTGCGTCCTTCTGCGCGTATGACAATATCTGTAGATCTTTACCGTTTTACAGCCCCTACACATAATCTCACGCTCACTCGTACCGCCGTCGAGCTTGTCGAGCTCGACCGCAAACTGCGCGAAGCTTACCCGACTGCGCAGCTCCCGGATCTCCCAATCGACGCATCGGCGCCCACCAAGCGCAAGGGGCGCTCCGCGTTCCTGAGCACTCTATCACGCCTCGCGTCCCCGAGCTCAAACCGCGCGTCACGCGCGTCGTCCTCCACCCGCCGTGCAACCAATGGCACCTCCCCGGCGAACACGACGCCTCAGGCGGAGGCGAGCGACCCTTTCCTGTCGTTCGGGCCCAGCGACGGCCCCACGACGCCCGAGCTTCCGGTCTCCGGCACGAGCACAGCGGTTGCCGCGTATCTGACGACCATCAGTAACACCCCTGCCATGAGACAGGCCCGTGTCTGGAAGCGGTTCGTTCGGGTGCGAACAGATGATCTGGAGAGCGTTCGGGTGGAGCGTGCGATCAAACGAGTGCGAAGTGATCTGGCTTCGCACACGGGCGGCAAAATGCGCGGCATGGAGAAGGAGAACGTCAAGGTCGAGAAGGTCATTGCCGAGGTCGAACCGTCGCTGCATGAAGAGGTCGAGCCGTCGCCTGAGAAGCAGCCGGTGTCGGCCGGTGATGTTGCGACTACCGCCGAGGAGGATGCTACAGTGGAATCGCAGCCGAATGCAGATGAGACAGCATCAACCAAAGCATCAAGCAAAGAAACCGCTTCAATCACGGAACCTACTCGCATCCACCGATCACACTCTGCCGACCCTGACAAGTCCTCCCGCATCTCACGAATCTACGATGATCAGACTGATGTGGAAGAGCAAACCTCATCCCAAGCCGAGGATGATTCGTCTGTGTCCACGACTGGTCACACCGCCCCGAAAAAGCGTAGCTCGAAGAAGAAGATCCGCAGCGAGCCGCGGAAGAGTACTCGAAAGGTTGCGATTGACGACTTTGAGATGATGCGAGTTCTTGGAAAGGGGTGTGCGGGTAAAGTTCTGCTCGTGCGGCACAAAACCACAACGGATCTCTACGCGCTCAAGGCTATCACGAAACGGCATGTGCTGGCTCACCAGGAGCTCCAGCATACCCTGACTGAGCAGGCCGTGCTGAAGCGCATGGCTGCTGAGAACCGGGATCCCTTTGTTGTCAAACTCTGGTGGAGTTTCCACGACAAAGAGAACCTGTTTCTGGTCATGGATTTCCATCCAGGTGGTGATCTTGCGACTCAACTTGCACGATGGGGTCGTCTGGGGCGAGACCGAGCACGGTTCTATGCCGCCGAGATTGTTGAAGGAGTCGAAGGACTACACGCTGCCGGCGTGATCTATCGTGATTTGAAGCCGGAGAACATCCTCATTGGCGGTGACGGCCATATCGTGCTCACAGATTTCGGATTGTCCAAAGAGTTCCCGCGTCGTTTGGCTTCGGCTACGGCCCCTGCGACGCCGACTGGGTCGCGCGGTGAATTTGTGACCGCTGCGAATGGATCTTCGTTACCCGCTACCCCACCATGGATGCGGCCCGACAAGGATGGTGAACTCGCTGCTGGGTGGCCTGGTCAACCCGTCGGCCAGGCAGCGGATACTACGACCACATTCTGTGGCACCGCCGAATATCTCGCCCCCGAGGTCATCCAGGGGCTTTCGTACAGCTACGAAGTCGACTGGTGGAGCTTTGGCACGATGCTGTACGAGATGTTGACGGGAATTGTGCGAGGGGCTTTTGTGATTCACGTAAAGCCAATGCTGACCGATGCGGGCAGACTCCTTTCTGGGCCAACAACCACTCGGACATGTATGTTCGTGTGCTCCAAGACGAACTGCAGTTCCCGGACGACCGAGCGATCGATCAGGATACTAAGAGTCTCATCCGTGGGGTGGGATTTATTATCTTCTTTTTGTTTGCAACGCTGACAGGTTCGTTCAGCTACTTCAACGGAATCCCGCTCTGCGCATTTGTGAACCCAGAATCAAGCGGCATCCTTATTTCTCCATGATGTGCGCCGCTCGACATTTCACAAGATATGCTGGCTAACCACAACTACAGAGATTGGTCTCATGTTTATTATAAGCGTTATATCCGTAAGCCTTGGACTCCTCTACTCATTGAAAACCTTCTGAGGCACCTCCGAAGCACCTTACATTCCACCGATTGATCCGTCCAATGCGAGCGACACCCAAAACTTCGATGATACATTCCTGGACATGGAGCCTGTGCTGGACGACATCAACGATGATGTTGACACCGACCAGGAGTCTCAAACGGATCCAGAACCGACTGACGGAGAGGAGTCCAACACAACGCCTTCTCAATCTCGTAGTTCATCAATCCATCCACCGATCAACGCTGGCACGCCAGAAGAAGACACGGTAGACGTGTTTGACGGCTACTCGTTCAAGGGCCGGCATTCTGTGCTCATGGACGATGACGACGATGACAGCGATGGAAGTGCTGAGGATGGCAGTGACGAAGAAGAGGACGAGGACTCCTCCATCTTGAAGGATCTCGGCATGGAGCTGGACACACCGACTGTCGAACTCGATGTTCCTGAACCGAAAACGCCGGAAGCGCGGCCAGTTGTTCCTGCTGAGCCAGTTCCTGAGCTGCCGTCCGAGCCGGCTGTCGTCGAAGAGGAGCCACGTGCTGAGGAGCCGGTCCCTGAGCCAGTAGAGCCGGTAGAGCCGGCGCCAAGCGAGAGCAAAGACACACAGCCTCCGCCGCCGCCACCTCCACCAGTGCCGGAGAAAGAGCCCGAAGTGCTGGCCAAACCAGTCAAGAGCGTTCCGGTCCGTGCGACACGAGCCAGGAGAGAAAAGTCGGGTGTTCCCGCTTTGGATCGGCATCTCGACGAAGAAGCGACCGAGAAAGAGGAGGAAGAAGACGATGATGAAGACGACGATTGGGACTTCATTGACGCTGTTGACGGCGAAGACCGGAATGGAGCGAAGGGAACGAGCTTGTTTGCCCGTGGAGTCGTCGACAAATACAGGCTTGCTGTATTCCGCAAGGCGTCGACTCCGGGGCCCAGATCTGTTTCTGGGATGTCGCAGCAGACTTCCGAAGCGGGCGACTCCCCCAGTCCTTCGCAGAGACGTGGTCGGACGGGAGCAGGTCTCACGTTCCGGAAAAACCCGCGCCAGTTCCTGCGGCCCAAGTCTCCGGCTCCGCCATCGTCGTTCTCGTCGATGACTTCGACGGCCAAGAGCTTGAGCGCGTCGAACTCTGCCACATTGTCCGCATCATCGTCCAGCGGTGGCCTGCTCACCCCGTCGGGTTCGACCCCTCTGCACGAAAGCCCGTCGCTCCGGTCGAAGGAGTCCGCGATGTCCATGGGCGCGATGAGCACTTCGTCGGGCGAGAACGGCGTGCACGGGTCTCCTGCGACAGTGGAAGTGAAGAATAAAAAGCTGAAGAAGTACAAAGAGAATGCGGAGAAGGTGTTTTCGTTCCTCTCCTCCCCTCGCTAATCTGTAAGTATATGACCCCCTCTCTATGCCGACCCTCCGTCACCACTATCGTATCGTCGTTTAAACAACACACGCTCACACTCGTTTTTTTGGTTTGTAGTATAGTGCCGCCTCGGACTGTGCCTGGCGCTGACCGTGTGTTCTTATATAAATAGATCACTTTCTTTGCAACTGGAATGGAATACAAATATTATTGACGCTGTTGAACTGCCGCTTGCTGGGCCAGTGATGCTGTGCTCAGATGGTCAAAGCGGGATTGATGGCTGTCGTGAGCGGAGAGTTCGCACGTGATTTTTCTGCGGCCGCGGCCAACTTGTCAATGTCCTGCGCAGGCCGATAACATAGATAACGTAGTGGAAGCAAAATGAGCCTGATAACTCCAAGCGCGGCGCGACCGACCGGTGTCCTTCTCTCCCCCTTCTCCTACTCTTCACGATGATCCTCACCGGCGCGTTCCCCGCGTTCCTGACACTCGTCTTGTCCGCAACAGCACAGGCGCACCAGGAGTCGGACTTCTTCTACTCACAGCAGCGACCGCTTGGGCAACAACGCCTCATGCAGGACGGTGTCGACATCTCGCACGAGCCCTGGGCGCAGAAGTACGGCCCGCAGCCCGACATCGGGTACACCGGCCCCCTCAGCTTCTCGCACGTCCCATACACACGATGCCTCGAGGATGGCAGCGTTGCGTTCGACATCGGGCTGCTGGGCATGCCGTTCGATACGACGACGTCGTACCGCCCCGGCGCGCGGTTCGGGCCGTTTGGGATCCGCGCGGGGTCGCGCAGGCAGGGGTTGGACCGCGGGTCGTTGGCCTGGGGCGGTGTGAGTCCCGTCGAGCAGGGCGCTTCGATCTTGGACTGCGGTGATGTATGTCGGGTGGCATTTCGTGCGCAGCGATCCTGGTTTCCTGGTTACCGTGTAGGGCGCGGCTGATCTGAGCTTTGGGATGCAGGTACCTGTGGCGAACACGGACAATGTGATGGCTATTGACCAGATGGAGACCGCATACTACACCCTGATCTCGCGCGAGGTCAAGGGCGGCGTGTCGGCTGAGTACAGGCCAAGTACTGCGCATCTCGCACTCGATGGGAACGAGCATCCGAGACTGGTAACCCTTGGCGGTGATCATACAATTGTTCGAGATTTCGCCCTCTGGCAGATGTTTCGGTGTCTAAATGTGTCTGGCAGGTTCTGCCCATTCTTCGTGCCCTGAACAAGGTCTACGGACCCGTCAGGTGAGCCCGTTCCCCAGCCCTTGGTTTCATTCTCTAACCGGTGCTCTCTCAGCGTGATCCACTTTGACGCACACTTGGACACTTGGCAACCACAGCCAGGCAGCTCAGCACAGGGTCGGATCACCCACGGAACGTTCTTCCACATCGCTGGCGAGGAGGGCCTGATTCGCAACACAAGCATCCATGCTGGGATTCGGTGTGAGATGCGTGTGGGTCCCTGCATTCCTCTTAGCTGGCGCAACCTTGACAGGTTGCGCAGGGACCGGAGGACGTCCAAAACGATGAGGCGGTCGGATTTCAGATTGTGTCCACTGAGGATATCGACGACTGGGGCATCAACATGGTTATCAAGAAGATCCGCCAGCGAGTTGGATCCAGTCCAGTATATCTCAGGTAAGCGAGATTGTCGTGACCTGAGGAAGCAATATGTCTGAAGATGACCTTAGCCTCGACATTGACGTTGTTGGTCCGTTGGCTCATCCCTGGCTACTGTCTCTCACTCACTCATCCTGATAGACCCTGGCCAGGCCCCCGCGAGTGAGTAGAGGTGAAATCCTGGTTTTCCCCTCCTCTTACGACTTTCGGCACAGCTGGGACTCCAGTGACAGGTGGCTGGACAACCGTGAGGTGAAGCGCATTCTGCGAGGGCTTTCGGGGCTCAACTTCGTGTAAGTTGCCAACCGGTGGTGCTTTCCAATCATGCACTGACTGGGGGTCGTTATACAGCGGTGCTGACGTCGTCGAGGTGGCTCCGGCATATGACAATGGTGGGTCTAGTGTGCTTCCTCTTCATCTTGAATCTCTGTAATGCTGCCCTTAGCGGATATCACGGGTATTGCTGCCGCGGATATTGTTTACGATTTCCTGGAGATGATGCAGATGGAAAGTCCTCCCCAACCTCACAAGGGACCCTTTTTCAAGTCCGAGCTGAGACGCTAGAAGCAGTAGAGACTGTGTAGAGCTGATGGTATTGTCAAGCCACATCCAGAGCAAGCGGAATGCAATGTACATTCATTTATTCGGTTTCCGTTGTTGATACAGTATTTGGTGAGGGTGGCAAGATACAGCAAAGCATATACAGAACTAAACGATGAGCGAGTGGATGATAATGAACAATCAAACAAGCCAGTAACTGGGCAGAACATTTGCGACATCTTCAACATACCAGTAGCGCAGCCTCAGCCTCTCCTTTTGGGCTTTGGTCAGCTTCTTTTTCTTGGTGGGATCTTCCTCTTCGAAGTCTCCCTGGCGGGCCATTTGAACCCAAATTCCTCCAACACCCATCCCGACACGCAAAAGCGCAGCAGACTCTGCAGTCACAAGGATCGTGATGTCCCCATCAAACGAGTGCTTCAGTCTGAGCGGTTCCTGTGAGCAGCGCAGAGTCTCCGGCTCCGCCAACACATCCGAGCTTTCTTCGCCATCCCAATTCGGCCACGGCTCCAGCACGACACGCCAGAGGCGCCCCTCCAAAGCGCGTTCGACGTCGTCCGGGACTGGCCCAGGGCCGTCCAGCGGTGCGCTGGGCGGCGGCACGTTCTGTACGGGCTCGAGGATCTGGCGAACCCGGCGCATCGAGCGCTCAACCATACCCGCCGTGTGTGTGGAAGCTATTCCGACACCGGCCGCTCCTACTAGGGACTCGAGCATGACTGGCGGCAAGGGGTCCGCCCAGGCCAGATGGGGGTCCTCGTCGGCCTCCGGATAGAACGAGCTCGGATCGAACGCAGCTTCTTCGGCGATCACCTCGATGTCCTCGTTCGTGAGGAGGGCCTGCCCGTCGTTCGGCTCGTCGCTGAGCACCTCGTTCGGTGCGTCGCTGAGCTCTTCGAAGCGATCATGACCCAGCAAGTCCCACAAGTTCTCTTCTTTGCTACCCCACTGCGTACTACACGCTCGAGAGAACGCGTCCCTCAGCTCCCTAGAGACTTTCGAAGTAAGGGGTAGTTCCATGAGCGCTGTATCGATGATCTCCATGGCCTTGGCAAGGCTGCGATCAGAGGTCTTGTCCGGAAGCACGCGGTTCCGGCGAAGATAGCGCACGAAGAAATGGAGCAGGCGCGGCGTGTTGATCAGATTCGGTTCGTAGCTATCGTCTGCGTGAGATCCCCAAAAAAAGGCCCAGCGGCAGAGGCACTCACTAGCATAACCCCTGGTACTTCATCCAGGAAGACAAGAACAGCCGGATTGCGCGCGCGGGATCGCCCAGGAAGTGCGCCAATGTCTCGTCCTTTCTGGAACGCGCCTCTTCGAGAAGCTTCTGGATCTGCTCCTGGGATTTTTTCTGTGGGGCATCCGTCCCGGACAACTCGGATGAAGCGTGAGGCGAGGGACGGTCCATTTCGCACGTTTGCGGTGGCGCTTGATCCGCGGCTCTGAGGTCGTCTTGGTCGTCCTGCCCGCCTTCCGGATCGCCATCACCATCGTCTTGGTCGGCTTCTCCGGCGTTGAACATCTGAGCAGTTTTTTTCAAGGTAGGCTGCGGTGTGAGGAGACCTGCATAGATTCTAAACTGTAAAATGTCACCAGGGAGGAAAGACAGAAAGCGCGCGCGCGTAGCGACATACCTGGTGCCATGAATGTTCGAGATTAGTTGAGGGCAGGGGCCACCGACGCGACCTAGCGAAATTCAAACATTGTCCGCAGGAGATGAGAGGCGTACTTAGTGAAGTCCGTCGCGGCCTGCTGCAATCGATTCGCCGCAGCCTCACTCCTACACGCGTAACGTCATCATCTCTCGACAAAACAACACAAGGAACGCCTGCGCACTCATCGTACACGCACGTCCTCGTGTTCTCCGCGACGTCCCACTCCTCCCACCAAACCTTGAGTCCGGGCAGTGGCGCGCCCGCGCCCGCATCGCCTGTCTTAGCGTCGCTTGTGCTCCTCAGTTCGATCGTGGGGATTCCCAGCGCATCGCGCTCCACCCCATCCGCGCCAATCGTCGTGCAGATCCCGGACTGCTGGAACTGCGCGAAGGGTGTGATCGTTACTCCCTCGGGGACATCGGGGAAGGGAGGGAAGCGGAATTTACGTTCGGGTGGGGGTGGTGCGGACATTGAGTTACGTGGTAAAGGAAGGGAATGTCGGATGAGAAATGAGTTTAAATAGGATTGAAGATGCGCGTGGGTGGTGTTAGACGCGTGTGCACTGCCACTCCGGAATGAGAACAACACCTCGAGTTCGACCCAATGAATTCACTGAGAATATACTAACAGATTTCCGTCGAGGACAGCATCCCTCTTAGCTCAGTTGGTAGAGCGCGTCACTAGTAATGACGAGGTCAGTCGTTCAAATCGGCTAGCGGGAATTTTTGACATCTTCCCATCCGTACCTGTGTATCCTGATGTCGAAGCTTTTATCTGGTCTCTTCGTTGACACAATCTATCTAGTCAAAACCTCCGCCCCATCGGTAGTAATGAGAACCATATGCTCCGTCTGACAACTCCTTGCACAATCCTCAGTCGACGCGGTCCATCCATCCGGCCAGACCCAGCATGTCGGCTCTTTGCCCTGGACGATGCACGGCTGTGGAGGTGTGAAAACGGAAGACGAATTGCGTAACGAAGCAACACCGACCTCGATAGTGAAGCAATGCCCTGGCTCCATAATCCCGGGCTCGCCGTTCCCTGCGGGGAATCCATCCAGCAAAACCATTTCATGCGAAGTAGAACCCCGTATACGCACTGTCATGAATGATCCACGGCTTGCGGTGGAACTCCGTGCCGATCCCATGCCCTGTGAATTGCGGGGAGACGGAATGCTCCGTGTGCCGGACAGACTCGTAGATCGCCGCGCCGATATCGCTGAACCTTCGTCCGGGCGCGCAGACGCGGATGCCCGCATCTGTGGCTGCGCTGGACAGGCGCGCCAGTTCCCTCCCGGGCTCATCCTGTCAGGCGGCATCATTCAATGCGGTGCGGGCAAGACATAATGAACGCCGCCCGCCTCACCACGTCTCCGACCAAGAACGTCTCCGCGGTGTCTCCGTGATACCCGTTAAGGTAGACGGTGATGTCGATGGATACCAGGTCTCCATCTTCTAGTGGCCGGCTGCGTGGATCTCAGCGTGCATTTCACCCGGAAGACACTGGAGCTGACTCGTCAGGGATGCCGTGTGCAATGATGTTGTTGACACTATTCGCAGGGTCAGCCTGAGGACGGTTTGCCGTGTACATAGCATATTCCACACCTTGTGCAGCATGATTTCGGAAACCCAGAATACAGCAGCGGAGACGGGTACGCCGAATGCGCGAGGATGTACTCGTGCACCCGCGCGTCGATGGCGTTCGTCGTGATGCCAGGCTTATCGAGATTCCATTCATCCGCCGAAATCCCACATGCAGATCGAGGACTGACAACGGACCTTCACAAGCGAGCCCGCGAACACGCGCACGTCGCGCGCGAGCCGTGCCGCCGCTCTCAGCCGCCTCTCTGCATCCCCACCGAGCTGCAGTTTCCCACCCTCGTCCTCAGGCGGGCGCTGCTGCTCGGGGGCGCCGGCGTACGCGGGCCGGGTGATGTGGGCAGGGACGTGCCGCGGCTGCAGGTGCTTCACGCCGTAGATGAACGGTTCTTCAGGTAGGATCACGGAGAAAGATCCGAATTTGCGTTGGGGAGCATGTGGCAGTCGTATCCGCGTCGTGGAACGTAACCTGGGCCATAGGACGTGGGCTCTGAGCATGTCACACTGTCAGGTCGGCGCTGATTCGAAGTTCAGGTTGGCCGCAGGCAAGATGGATCACGATCACGTGGGCGAGTCTTGTATGATGACAGACGTCTCGAATGGTAATCCCGACTTTTTGGTTGAAGCGATTCAGTCCACTATTTATGCGCCTATCACATCCTGTTTCAAGCTGTTCATGCACTGTCTCAGAGTCTCAGACAAAGACTCGTGATCGGTCGCAAATGTCTCCGTCTGTGTGGCTAGTACTCACGGCCCCTTTTATTCAGGATCCGCCCGTGTGTTGCAATCAATCTTTGACAATTTCTCGAGTACTTATCTTCGCGAAACAAGAAGCCAAGCGGGGGAGGCCCGTTGAACTCGGGCCACCAGAGGCCCGACCCCCACGGGCCTGGCCCGAGGAGCGGGCCTCTATCGCGCGTGCCCTCCCAGTCAGTCAGCCGGCCTACCAAAACAAGGCCCATCGTCTTGAGTCTCGCAGGTATATAAGAACACACACGAATATCGGATGCGCATATTACATCACCTACAACACCATGTCCTCTGAGACCTTCACTGTGCTGAACGACACCCGCCCTGACGATACCACGCTTCCTGCGTTCATGGTCTCGACCACGCGCGGATTTCTGCCCCGTGCGGAGCCAGTCGTCGACCTGCCGGTCGAGTTCGTCGCCCTCGAGTCGATCCTGGCGCGCATGCCGATCCAGACGCTCGATGGCTCGCCCGGACTGCTCGCGCGCGGCATGCTCGGCGAGACTGTGCTGAACGAGCTTCCCGATTTGACGTGGGCGGTCGAGAAGTATGCAGCCAACCTGCCGCTGCAGAACGCGCTCTACAGGGACTACTCCTTCCTCGCTTCTGCTTATCTGCTCGAGCCTTGCCACCTGCGGTTCGTCAAGGACGGTGAATACGGGCTGGGGCGCGAGGTCCTGCCCAAGAACATTGCCATCCCCATCTCCCGATGTGCGGAAATGTGCGTCAGTCCTTGGTTCTGAACACTACCTGGATGCTGATCTGAGTGCAGCGCTGGCTTCAAGCCGTTCATGGAGTATGCCGGCTCCTATGCGTTGTTCAACTACCACCTCGTCGATCCAACCAAGGGTCTCGAGTACTCCAATCTCCGTCTCATCCGCGCTTTCGAGCGCGGACTGGACCCGATGTCTTCCGAGGCTGGTTTCGTGCTAGTCCACATCGACATGGTCCGCAACTCTGGTCCGCTCGTCGCCGGGGTGATGAGCGCTCTCGACTCCTGCGCTGCGGACGACCGCGCTTCCTTCGTCGAGGGACTCGAGGAAGTTGTGCGAGCAATGTCCGTGGTCAACAAAGTCATGGACGAGATGTGGGGCAAGTCCAAGGCGACCGAGTACACCTCCTTCCGCACATTCATTTTCGGCATCACCTCGCAGTCCATGTTCCCCAACGGCGTCATCTATGAAGGCGTCTCGGCCGAGCCCTTCTCGTTCCGCGGCGAGTCCGGCGCCAACGACAGCATGATCCCGCTCTGCGACAATCTGCTGCAGATCACGATGCCGTCCACGCCGCTGACCGCCATCCTGAAGGACTTCCGAGCGTACCGGCCCGGGAACCACCGCCAGTTCCTCGAGTACGTCCACGACCGCTCGCGCGCGCTCAACCTGAAGCACTACGCGCTCGCCCACCCAGAGTCCGCCGCGGCGTACCTGCGCATTCTGGACCAGGTACGCGACTTCCGGTGGCGGCACTGGTGTTTCACGCGCGAGTACATCCTCAAGAAGACGCTGCATCCCACCGCGACCGGAGGCAGCCCGATCGTGACCTGGCTGCCCAACCAGCTGCTCGCAGTCCTGAATGAGATGGAGGCCGTCTGGGACGGCGCGGGCCGCGAGCTGGATGGCTGCGAGGATCTCATGGAGCGGGCGCTGGTGCAGAAGGAGACCCTTAAGAAGGAAGTCGACAAGTATGTCAAGGACCGCGGGGTTTGATTGTGTAGCAGAACCTGTGATAAGTCAATGAACTCATTTCTCGTAATTATGGATCTTTCCTCGGAGCGAACACAGCAAGGCTTGCAGGAGTCTTGTGCTCGCCATTTCAAAAGAGGTTCTCGACTAAGGAACCGCCATATGGCCTTCACAAATTCCGCAGGCTATCATACTCATCGGAGTCGGTGTGACATGTCGTAAGATGAGCCCAAAATTCTCCAGATCTGCTGTTGGTTGCTTATCGCCAGCTTTTGCGTCGTTGAGATAGGTCCAGGACCACAGAGGAGAACTGTATGGATGAGCCAAGTTGCCTAATCGTCACAGACAGGACACGGGCGACGGAATGCATGCGTGTCATTCCGGCGCAAAAAAGCTCCCGGGCGCAGAATAGATCTACCCAGAACGCCATGCGATCCTAGAGCAATAGTAGTCGGAGCACAGGATCGTTTTGGAGCCCGTCTAGTGACCAAAGAGCTTTAGAAGTCTACCATCAGTGGTTCAATATGTACATGGGTTTCCATATACCATCTCTGTTGTTCATTGGGCGCTCCACCCTGCGAATCCACAGCCGAATCTAGAGTTCGAATAGAGGCCCGAACGCTTCAGACCAGAACACGTTGATTCTCAAAGCGGAGAATTAATGCGACCGCTGTGCAACACGGAGCATTCGAGGGTTTGAGAATGCGATGGAGAGGAGATAGTGCGCCGTGTTGGATAGATTATGATCACATATCCATACTCCGTCCATATGTGGCGTCCGAGATGAGCCGTTGAGAGTGGAACCTTCGTTGAACGCTTTGCGCGCCCAAGTTTACAGCGTAGAGTCTGTCAGAAGAAAACCATCGCAGTATCAACGACGTCATGCTCGTTGACGCGCTTGTCACAACGTGACGGCCGCGGTCATTCATGGTTTTAGGAACTTTCAACCATGACCATCATGAGCCATCATGTCATGGCACCCCAGTCGATTGAACGCAGAGCATGCTGTTCCTGTCGCTGTTCGGCGCATCTCTGTTCCTTCTCCTTCGGATATCACCGACCTCTTCTTTGCGAGCCTCAATTGTTGAGCCCCGCTGCGTTCATGTCCGGCCTAGCCGTCATTTCCTAGTATCGTCCAACTCTAAACTTGGTCTGATTCACTCTCAATACGCACTTATACGGCATCGCGGACATCAGCAGTAACAGCAACAGCCTCGGAGCTGACATCGGACAGCCGCTGCGTTGACGACAAGATCACGCAGTAATTTGATACCAATGCGAAACTGATCAGCGGCTGCGCTATATATGCAGTCCGGGAAGATGGGGTTGGACCTCCCTACTTCTGGCTTTGACAGTCGAGTCCCGGCCCTCACATACTAACGCACGATGGACATTCGCTCTCGAGGAACGTTTTTGACTTCGGCTGGTTTCATCATCGCCTCGGTGGGGTTTACGCTGGTGCGCACAATCTCTTCTCGTCTATCGGGATCGAACTGATCATCCTATCCTCAGAGCGTCCTGTCGACGCTCCTTCGCATGTTGCTCTTTTTCCACCGCCCGGTCCTGGATGCGCAGTCTCATCCGTACCCGATCCGCAAGCCCAGTGCACGGAGGAAACATCCGGCGACTGACTCTCGTAGTACGCCGAAAGATCTCGAAACGACACTGTCAGGTGCTTCGAATGGCAGCTCAAGCGAGTCGGGATCCTCGACTACTCCCGATGACCAGTCTGGGCAGGGGAAAGACGAGTGTCAGCGGACGACCAGCAAGGCTGCTCGTCGCACTGGCCGACGGCGATCTGATTCTACACCCACGTCCCCTGCACCCTGGGCTTCGACCCATGATTCTTCCGCCCCTGTCACAAGACGCAAATCCGTCGACCGATCTGCAGCCGGCACAGCTCGCATGAGCGACTCGGGAGCGGGAGCAGAGAAGAAGGTGCGAAGATCACCCAGCATGCCCGGTGCTGGCCCCAAAGGTACCACAGAATGAGCTTTTTGCGTTGCTGTTGCGCGCTGACGATCGACGCTGCAGAACATGCGGAAGGGCGGAGATCAACGCCGCCGGCCCGGTCGAAGTCGCAGGTCTTCGCGCCATTCCTCCCCCGAAGACGCTCGCACATTGCGATGGATACCGCCGCCTCCGAGCACGAGCCGTCGGCAAGGACCTCCAACGAGTCCTCGTCCGACTCGTCACCTCCCCGGCCTGCGCTCGTACCCAAGCGATCCCAGACCCTTCGGACGCAGCCGTACCAGGCGCCGTACTTCTTCCCGATGCCCGGATCTGCTGAAGCGCGTCCGCTACCGAGGAGGAGGAGGACTATGCCTGTGAATGATCTGAGTGCGGAGGGTGCCGATGCGGTGCCGCCCGTTCCTCCGCTGCCTGCCGCATATCTGAGTGTCCCCGGAACGGCCTCTTGACGAGGACGTTTCTTTTCGTTCGATTTCGTTCTCCTTTTTGCGCCTAATCAAATCAATGTACTTGTCTATGTACGGTAAATTACACGTCTTGAACTGGTTCCGTTGGCGTGGCGTCGGATGATACTGGATGTGTGTCTCCGCAGTTGATGCTAAAACTTCCTGCAGATCCTCAACTTTATACGTCATAGCGATTGGATAATGACTCTGCCTCCTGGCAACATTACATTCATCTTGAAACTGATGCCTGGCATGGCTTTCTGCGACCGGGAAGGCGGGGACAGACCCACCAGCTCCACCCAGATACTCTTCAGTGTTTCGTCTGCGCTGCGGTGCTCAATTGCCGCGACTTGGCGATGCATATCGACCTGTGTCGACTGAGAGCATCCGAATTTCAGGGCCGTCTAAGCATCTAATCAAATCCAGATGTGGCTACTGCGAGGCACGGCAATATTTCATTTCTCTTTCTGGCTCCCACCACCACCTCTCTTCCCTTCTCCTCTGTTTCTCAGCGCCTGGTCGCGTGTTAGCCTTTCTTTATCATGGACTACACTGTTTCGGCGACACTGTTTGCAAAGCTTTGGGATGGGACGCCGGATGCTGCTATGGGGGAGATAACGGCGACGATGGTGCGTGTTTGGAGGATGTACCGTCTGTTACATGAAAATTGAGCATTGCCGTCCCAGTCTGAGCTGCTCTTCTACGGTGAGATCTCCTTTCTCGTTGGCCATGACACATGGCTCTGATATCGAGACGTCAGGCATTTTCCTAGTCCTGGCGTCGTTTTCGGTCAACCTCATCCACCGACGCCAAGCCGGCATCAGCGGTCTCGTCCTCAAGCTCGCTACGCTGCTCATGTTCGTGCTGGCCACCTCGCAGCTCTTGGCGCGGATCCTTGCTTGCACCCAATCTATTCGCGCGCTCTATCTCGCAGTCCAAGGGCGGGTCCCACCCACGGATGCTCTCGCGCGTAACCTCGCATTCAACTTTGCAGAGGATATCCTGCTGGTGACCAACAAGTATGTGCAAGCCTCCGCGTATGTCTGTTCCAGGTTGCTGATTGGAGATGCGAACTGTAGCATCGTCACTGATGGATTACTTGTAAGCTACTTTTGTTGCTGTTTCTGCGCGTCGAAACTTATTCATTCGCGCAAAGATCTATCGCTGCTTTCTGATTGTCAGTTCGATTTGGTTTCGTTGCAGTGGGCCCAGACTGACCTTGCCTACAGTGGGGACACAATTACTATGCCATCGCCGCTCCCGCTGTTATGCTGCTGCTCAGCACGAGTGCGCCTCAACTCTCACGGACTGCCGCGCCTTTTAATATCTTTCCGCAGTTCTCAGTTACATTGCCGCATATGAGGGCGATTACCCTGGTATCGGGGGGCCGTCCGTCGATCCCCGCATCGGATTCGCGCTGAGTGTGCTGACGAACATCGTCCTCGTTGGCCTGACCGGTGCGCAATCCGCTTTCCTCGTCGCATCTCCCTCATCCATGCCTACATCTAGCTGGTCGCATCTGGTACACCCGCGTTCACGCCAGCAGGCTCGGTCTCAAGGCCGATATCGTGCGCCGATACAACTCAGCGACGGCTATGGTGTAAGTCCGGCCCACTTCCAGCGACCCGCCTGTTTATATGCGGATAGGATTGAGTCCGGTGGGATTGTCTGCCTGTGGACTATCATCTACGTCATCATGCGGTCGACTAATGTTTCCCCCACTGTTTGGAGAGTCTTCCGCGGTGGCTTGGCTCAGATCTTGGTAAATACTTGGCCCGATGCCCGCTTGCGTTCTCACTCGTCCTAGAACATCGCCCCTACCCTCATTGTGGTGCGTGTGGGAATGGGCAAGAGGACTGTCACCACAGAGTCGGATTCTACCGAAATCGGGACGTGGAAAGCCAAAAGTGCTTCGGGCTCGACGATGATAGCGGAGACAACGGTTTAGGATCAGTTCGTGAAATAAATTTGAATGTATTGAATTAAATATGGATGTATTGCTCCGGCCCGTGAGCTTTTTATTTTTATTTATTCTCTGTGAAATTGAGACCAGACTTGAAATCGACTGCGGGCAGACACTTACTTACGTCATCTATCTCCCCTCACCTTCATACTTGTTTCGCGCAGTAGTCGACTGCTCGTCCTATTGCAACTATGGCTCCCGAAGTTTTCAACCTTGCTCAGACGCCTATTACGACCCATGCATTCAGCGCCGACCGCACACGTCCGTGATGGAACTGAAGTGCATCTAGATGACACTTATCGTTGTCCAGAGGTTGCCGTCAGTCTCAACTCCAACGAGGCACAGATATTCACGCGCCAAGGCACGGGATGGACTTCCACCGAGACGCTCGCCGAGGTCAGTCTCCCGAGAATCACATGGAGTGTCATTGAGTCGGGCATCGCAGCACGACAAGATCATCACCTCAATCGATTGGGCTCCGAGCTCGAACCGCATCGTCACCGCGTCGCAGGATCGGAACGCCTATGTATGGCAGCAGGCGCAGGATTCTGCGACAGGAAAGCTCATCTGGAAGCCGACCTTGGTGCTGCTTCGCATCAACCGCGCAGCGACGTATGTGCGATGGAGCCCCAAGGAAGACAAGTTCGCCGTTGCGAGTGGTGCACGGTGAGCCTTCCTGGCTTCTTCTCTCACGCATAATGGATCTGACGATGCGCGCGCGCTGCAAGTGCCATCGCGGTGTGCTCGTTTGATCCCGAGAACAACTGGTGGGTCTCGAAACTGCTGAAGAAGCCCATTCGTTCGACTGTCCTGTCCGTGGATTGGCACCCCAATAACGTCCTTCTCGCCGCCGGCAGCGCCGATATGAAAGCTCGTGTTTTCTCTGCATACATCAAAGAGGTCGATGAGAGGTCCGTCATTCAAGGATGCATGCTGTCAACGGGCCAAAACTCATCCGTACGGCAGACCTGCTCCAACTGTCTGGGGATCTAAGCTGCCGTTCAACACCGTTTGTGCCGAATACGCGAGCCCGGCAGGGGGCTGGGTCCACACCGTTGCCTTTTCTCCGTCGGGCGATGTTCTGGCCTTTGCTGGTGATTCTCATCCGCGTTTCATCGCATTCACGCAATCCTCAATCAACTTTGGCCAGGTCACGACAGCTCCATTAGCATCGCGTACCCGGGCGGACCGGCTGTGTACAGCATCCGGATGCCGTCCCTCCCTCTGGTGACTCTGACCTGGACCGGAGAAAACAGCATCGTCGCTGCGGGTCACGACTGCCAGCCCCTGGTTTTCTCTGGATCGCAGGACGGGTGGCAGAACGTGGGCAGTCTCGACGACAACACGTCTGGGAAGGCTGCGAACACTCGCTCCGGAGGCGTTGGCCGCCTCAACTCGGCCGCGTTCTCGACCTTCCGTGACGCTGACTCGCGTGGCCAGACTGGAAGCGGCTCTCAGGACACGAAATTGGCAACTGTGCATCAGAACACCATCACCAGTGTTCGCCCGTACGAATACAGTGGCGAGCAAGTCACCAAGGTCAGCACCAGCGGTGTGGATGGTAATCTGGTCATTTGGGAGGTTGACAATGTGTCGGCATTGACTGGCCGTCTGGGAGGGATGAAAGTGTAAAGTACAGTACAGATGTATTAACGCTACAATGAAACGCTTGCTCGGAAAAGTCATCGCAAACTGTCGCTTGTCAGGTCGGCAGAGTTAGCGACGTTCTGTTCGTTGATTACACCCCATACAGAGGCCTTGAACTGCACGCAGGGCTTTCAGACATCTAGATTAAGGCGGAGCAGGATCGGCTCACCAGTGTCAAGATCAGACCCATCTTCTTCTCAACTTGCCGCAGGCGTTCCAGCAGTAAGGCGTCCGGTTGTTCCGTTAGAGATCTCGTCTTGACTTTCAGCTGCAGGACGTGCGATGCGTTGTTGAAGGCGCGAGAATGGTCAGCCTGTGATGCGCACCATACGTAGATGTTGTGCCAGTTTCGCATACTCCCACAGAACTTCCGACTCGGCAGGCGTGAGACTGGGGTTGTTCGCGTATGGATTGTCGGCGAAGATGTCGGGCGAAGAGGATGCATTGGACATGGTCGTCGTGCGCGATCACATCAAGGACGCGGCTTAGGTAAGCTCAAATGATCATTGTTATCGAGTTTCTCCTCCCACACTGTACTCACACAAGAGACCGACGCTCAAAGGAGGCAATCTCGCTCCACATTCAGAGCATATGCGCTGTGCTGCCCATCTCCAAGCGAAATCAATCCTTCAATCTGCTGTCATCTACTCAACACGACTCGTTCGGCCGACGACGTTCCACTGGAATCTTTTGTCGCATTGCACGTACTCGGAACTACTTGTGCACACTCGCAATGGCTCCCACATTCAGTTTGCCAAGTATCGGTGACCATGCTGTTTCCCGGAATCATGGCCCTGTGAGTACGACCTGCCTGGGGGTCTCATGGTCGGTGTTCAAACTCAATCTGCGCCAACGAATCTATTCATGCACCGCAACGGCTTGCTCCCGCATAACGCCAAATCGTATTCCCTATTCCCGGTCAAGAATTTCTCTCTCATAAGTCACGCTTCGGGTCCAGTCTGCATCTTTCCCAGGATGTACGGTTTGTGATACATCTGCGGGAACTCCCGGACTCTGTCTTGCCTCGTCCCCGATGTGGACTGCGCAAGCATGTGTTCTACACTATCTTTGGGCTTTCTTCCCGCGCACCGACCAATTGTATCGTCTGAGGCTCGGGCCGGTGGGTTTCCACAATGGGCGATATCTCTGCCTAAGGAACTGCAGACGAAGCTTTACGCCACCATGAACGTCGACCGATATTCCGTGTGCGGGAATGGGCGTGCATCAAGGTGGCTCATGTGCCTCCACTTGCCGACATCGGGCATGTGTCTTGCTCTCCTTCCTCTCCGCAAGTTGCCGTGTGCTTCGTCCACATCAATCAGCACATCATCACCCTGCTTTTCTGCTTATCAGGGCCCATATAGGAACGCTTGTCTGCTGAATCCAGTTCTGCGACTTCCTCCAAAGCGTGTTTGCTGCTTGCTGATGCTGCGAGGATGATTTGTGCTTCGGATGGATGAACCGATTCGTGATTCGTAAGCCTGAAATAAAGCTGGCTAGATCTATTCTAGTCCTACTGTTTCCATGTTCCGGGCTCCGGAGCCAATCTGTGTGCCTTGTTATCAGTACTCTACAGGCTTGAAACGCTTCCTGCATTGTGTGTATCGAAGACCTTCTTCTCAGTCCATTCCAGATAGCTCTGCTCCAACGTTCGTGAGACCAAAGTATCCATCTCAACATCCGCCTCCGGCCGAAAGGGTCGAGCTTCTCAATTCTTGTCACCAGTCGTGTTATGCCAGGCTGTATCCTTGTTTAAGATCATCGGCAACCCGACGGCCAGTAACGGCGCGAGGTTTTTTTTAATCTCTCATAACCTTCTGCTAGAACTTGGACGAGTATTAGAGATCCAGGTAGCTTGTTTGCTCGCCTCTACTCTGTGCATCAGAAAATGCCCAGTTACTTTGACCCCTGTTTGATGCATGTCGTGAGTCTCAGTTGGTCGCCTTCTCCTGCTCTTATAGGATGAGCAAATTACATCCTCATCTGTTACCCATTAGGCTATGATCTTTCGGAGAGCTTCCTTGCCGTAGACTACTTTCAAACGCCAGTTCCAAAAATAAACTAGCTAAAAATAAGCTCGATTGGATAAAGACCCGACGGGGAATTGATGTTGACAAGTGCTTGTCCTTACTCACCCCCCAATCGTCTCTCTCCTCTACTCAGCGCCTGCCCTTGGCTCGCTTGGCACCGTCGACCCCGCAAATTCACCAGCGCAATTGCAGCTACAACGGACGTGTGCCGGAGTAGTTGAGGCCGTGCGAGGACTGCAGGAAAATTTCTGTGCGGGTGGCATCCGTACTGGTCGCGATGCCCGTTACGCGAGCGATGGCGACGCCCGACAGGCGCTGGCCTGTCATGGCGCTCGTTGCAGCACTCACACCCGACTCGAGGGCCTTCCCGCTGGACGAGCTTGTCGCTGTCGACAGCGTGGCTGGGCCCTCCTTACAAGCCGTTTCTAACGCCGCTGAGCGTCCGACTCCAACGCACCATTCGCAACACAGCGGGCGCAGGGTGCCCCCTCAATACTCCCCGGGTTCAGATGGACTGTGGAGGCGGCTGGATTCGTTTACACTCGTGGGAAGCACCGTGTGCGAGAGTGGGGGGGTGCGTGCTACTTTTGGCGACATCCCTATTGATACCTGATGCCGTTTTCAGTTGTGCCCTCCGACAGCGTCCTCCACCCAGGCACCTTCGGAGGATGATATTTTGGACACTGTGCCCTCCGGCTGGGTGAGCGAGAAGATCTCAAACCCAGTCCGCACCGGCATCACCGTGTCGCTCAGCCTCATTCTCGCTTTTCTGATCGTGATCGCTTTGGGGCACTCGCATCTCACGCGTGGCCCTCGATTCAAAAGAAAGAATACTGACGTCGAGAAACGCAAATCCTCGCGGTCGTTGAGGGGCCAGATTTCCGCAGCGGAGTCGTCGATGCTCGTACATCAGAGATCAAGGAGTTCGGAAACGCTAGCCTCGCTAGCCGACGAGGGCGCCAAATCCTCGGCGACAAGATGGACAGCACGGGCAACGAAGCGATGGAGAGACAACGTGCGCTACCTGGCGAGACAGCGCCGAGGACGGCCTCGTCATCTCAACCATCCGGCATTCTCGACAGATTCTCGGCGACCATCTCCATCCGTTTCCTCGGCATCTTCTCCTCGCACAAGTGTTGAGACCTTCGTCGATATCACGTCCTCTGAACAGCCCACACCCCCGTCACCTGTATCTGTTCTCTCGTCATCCTCTTCTTCTTTGAGGTCAATATCACCTCTGCCAAGGAGAACTTCCGTCGGACCTCCTGCCTATCTTTCCTCTACAAGCCGACTACCGCTGCGCTCGCAAGAGCCATCATCTTCGCTCTCACAGGCTTCGAGCTCCATGAACCGAGATCTCGGACTGCGATTGGAGATCGACGCTGATCCTGGAGAGGAAGTGTTCCCACCCTATTCACTATCCGCTGAAGAACGACCACCGGAGGCGGCGATTGCACATGTTGCTACGGACGACAAAACTGTACTGGCGCGGCTACAAGAAGAAGCGTCAAGCCCAGATACTCACTCGCCACATCGAGAGTTACTTGTTCTCGAAGAAGACGAGCTGCCGCTGCCCGATCTGGAGCACTGTCCACCCTGGCCGTCGCCTTCACCGGAATCGGATTTAGGTCTTCCCGCGCCCCCATTGGCTTTGGATTGGACCAATGCACGCGAAGAGAAGCTGGCAATGGAGAGGGCATTCGCTACGATGGATGACGTGATCCCATGTGCAACGAGGCCCAGATTTTCGACGTACGGCATTCAGCAGGAAGCAGGGCCAAGCTCACGGCCTATCTCTTTCCCCACTCCGAGCGCACCACCCCTGGAAGATGACGATCAACTTCCTTCAGCGCCACTGTTCGAGGATGACGATGGGGATTCTGAGTGGCAGGAGGGCAGCGACAGTGGCAGCAGCGCTCTCGCGACTTTACCGTCGGCGAGTGATGAGAGCCCTGATCGTGATGGAGATTTCCCTCGGTCGTCACTGTCCGTGCTCAACAGGGAGAAGCGCGATCACGCCCCAGCTGGATCCGGAGAAGCTCACGATACGGGATGGGACGTTGAGGCCCAGCAGGTTATCTAGAACATATCTTCTCTCCTCTTCTCTGTATGTAGTCTTTTTGGACTATTCCTCTCGATTTTATTCTCCTCTCGCTATCCATCTTGTATATGCTCTGTCCATCATCCATCCATACCGCACGCACACACATCTCTATTAATCATGTAAAGGCAGAACTTAAGACGCACAGCGCAGTCGCAATGAAGTCAACTGATTCGAATTCCGAATTCTCATACCGGGCGCACAACAGGCTGCTGCTGCTGCTACTGCCGCTTCTGGTGATTTAGCTCGCAGATCCGCTGCAGCCTCCATGCCTGCCGGAGCCCCTCTGATTCGTCTGTGGCCACCGGGCCTGGCGCCGGTCGGGTGTAGCCATGCACCGAGGGTGGTGGTGGGTGGCTTGATCACGATTCGTGATGGGCGTGGTGCCCGTGCGGCTGTAGAGTGGCTCGGCGTGGCTACCCGGCGTCAATCTGGGATTCGCAGCGAGGCGCAATTCCACTTGTGGGCCATGATGGGTTCGCAGATGGGACGGAGAGTGACGGAGACCTCGTGATGCGCTTGACGCGGGCGTATAGCCACTGATTGATTGACGTTGTCGCCGCCGCCGTGGCTCCCGCGTGTCATTTCGACTTACGAGGTTCTCTCGCGGGTACCAAGGATCATCAGAGGCGGGCATGTTCGGCTGCTCCACCCTTCCTCTTCCAAGTCCTTTCTTCTTTTTTCTTTCTGAGTCCACGTAGGACCCTGTGCGTTTCTCGCTCGATTCGGACGCGGAGAAACGTTGGTGGTGCGTGGGCCAACCCCGGTCCCGCGTGGAAGGCTGGAAGCGGGCGCCGACGGTTCCGTCCCACGTTTCACGTTTGTTTTTCTTCGCGATGTCGAAGCGGGAAGCAGCGTTGGCGTTGCGGGTGCATGGCGAGGTCTCACAGGGCGGAGGCCGAAGCCACCCATACACCCATGTGGAATGCTGAATTGTGTTGCAACCAAGGGTTTGGATGTGCGCTCGATGTGGACGTTCATACAGGAGCCAATGGCTCGGGGGATTACGTGTATCCTCATCCCCAACCAGTACATCACGTTACGTGGAAAGATTACAGACTAGGTTCGCCAGATCTAAAAACGAATATATTCCCATTACACCAATACAAACCCAAATCATGGCATGGCCGACGCTGGAGGTCTCCACCTGCGCCGCAGCGAGCGCTGGACGGATTCGAGGCTGCCCGTGAGTGTCTTGAGGCTGGCCTGGCCCTTGACGAGCCACTCGTCGAGAGCGGCGTCCCCAAGCAGGCCCTCTTTCTGTGAGAGAACATTCGGATCAACACATGGAAGGCAAGAACACCGCAACGGCTACTCACCATCTCCCCGCTCGACGACATCCCTGTCAGCGCAACGATGTGAGCCGGTCGCAGCCCGCGCTCGTGCTCGACGATGCGCATTCTGCGTGCGGATTCGATCCCGTTCATACCGGGCATGCTCACGTCCCTGCAACCGCCGCGCGTGATCAGTTCAGTTCCGCTATCAGGAAAACGACCGCCGATCGACTCACGTCCATACGAGATGCGGGAGAAACTCCTTGTAGACTTCCAGCGCCTGGCTCCCGTCGCTCGCCTCGCGGAACGGGATGCCCTTGCGCGTCAGCAGCGTCGTCAGGATCTTGCGCCCAATCTGGTTGTCGTCCACAACAAGCACGCGAATTTGCGACGACTCGCTCGCTGCCGCCCCCGCCGCCCCACGGTTCGCTTCAGCGCCACGCGCGACGGCTGGGTCCGGGGTCGCCGGGGGAGTGGGCACCGGCGTTTCCGGCGGACTCGGCGTTGCTCTCGACGCGGTAGGCTCCGGGTCCGCCTCGTCTTTCGAGATGAGTGTCTTGGTCAGCACCCGGGGCGAGGCTGGGAGATCGGTGCTCCGGGGACGCGTGAACTCCACCGGGATCGTGAAAGAAATCACAGTCCCCTTGCCGAGTTCACTGTCGACCGCGATTTTGCCGCCCATGCGCCGCAGGATCGTGTTAGAGATACTCATTCCGAGCCCGGAGCCCGGATTGAACGAGCTCTCCTGGCTGAATGGGGTGAAGATATCTTTTTTGAATTCTTCGCTCATGCCGATGCCAGTGTCCTTCATCGAGAATTTGATCAGGCGGTGGCCATCTGGCTGCCGGTCACGAGCTGGGCCCAGATCGCGCAGACTAAGCGTGATCGAGCCCTTGGGCGTGTACTTGAGCGCATTGGAAGCGAGATTAAGAAGCACCCTGAGAAGGGATCAACAAGGAAAACAGAAAGAGGAAATAAACAACTCGACCACCGACCTACGAAGGCCTCCGACGTCTCTGCATCACGGGGTCAGACAGTGAGACAAAGCCAACAAAACGCACGAACACGATGGCATTCCAATTCGACGGGGAAGTCTCGGTTTCGACGCTGACTTCCACCGGAGAATCTGCTTCTCCTGTGACATACTGCCACTGGCGCCGACGGCCATAGGCAACTGGACATCAGGGTAAGAAGCTGCACGGATGCCAGGATAGCAGCCCAAACTCGCCGTTCATCACGTCGATCGCCAGATGACTCAGATCGCTCTCCGCCGATTGGGTCTGGACATCGCTGCTGTTCTCCTGCTTGCCAAAGTCCAGCACGTCGTTGAGCTGTCAACGTCAGATCAGTGGCGGTAAATTGGCCCAGGGGCGCTGGACGCAGACGCACCACATCCCGCAGCGTCAGCCCGCAGACCTCCGCGGTGCGCAGGAACGTCTCCGTCTCCGCCTGGTATTCCTTCGGCGCAAACTCGCGGATCAGCTCGAGCTGCGAGAGGAGGCCGTGCAGAGGCGTTCTCAGCTCGTGCGAGATCATCGACACGAAGGCGGTCTTGGCGGCATCCGCTTTGATCAGCTTGGTCTTCGCCAAGCTCCCGAGACACAAAACCGCGAAGGTGGATGCGAACGAGACGTCGGCGGGTTCGTAAACCTGACGCGCTTTGACGGTCGCGACGATGAGCAGCAGGGCCCTGTCACCGTCTGTGAGTCGGACATCCGCAATGGAACTCGAGAGAAGCCTACGGTTGAGCGTTGTTAAACAGCGGCACCGCAATATGGGCATTAGATCCTGGAGGAAGGATCGCCTGCAGGGGCCCGTCGGTTCCTGTGTACGTGTAGCCTGTTCCCGAGTTCTGGTGGACAGTTGCCATAGATGATCACGGCGTGCCACGGGACTCACATTCTCAGCATACGACCGCAAAAACGTCGTCAGAACATGGATGGCACGGGGCGTGGCCAGCACCGCTTCCGGTGCAAAGTCGGGGCACAGCGAGCCGCAGCTGTAGTCGATGATCCGGATCCCTGCAGATTCGGCCTTGGCGTCGTCGCCGTCCGACGGGAGCGACGAGATCCGCTGATTCGTCCCAATCCAGCCATGTTTCGACCGGGACACCGTCCGCGTGACCTGCTTGCGCGGAGACTCGAGTGCGAGCCACGAGACGTGGAATGACGACAGATCAAGGAGGCAGGTGAAATCCGAATCGAGCATCCGCCTGACGTCAGTCGTCGCGGAGAGCATCCGGAACCCAGCCTCGAGATTAGGGGGCACGCGTGAGTCCCGGGCCTCGACAGGCGGTGATATGTTGGAATGAAAGCTGGACAGGTCGGCAATGAGATCCGAGACGAAATTCCGTCGCAAAGCCTCCTTGCGGTGCCGGCTCTCATTGAATACACGCAGCACTTCGGTGCTGAGCAGGTGCGCCAGATCAGATAATGATTCGCGTTCTTGCTGCGACAGTTCATTTCGAACGGTCGTTCCGAGGACAGCGAACGAGCCGAAGGGCACGAGTGGCCCCCCATCTTCGAGCGGAAGCAAAAGCGGTTGTCCAGCAAACGACCGGGGAAGATCTGTGGCTCAATTAGCGTCAGATCCTGGCGGAATTGGACAAGAGCGAACCAGGAATGTGCTCGAATCGCCGATCGTGTTGGGTATCGGGCTGTGATGTGCGCGTCAGGATCTGTTGGAGGTATCGTCACAAAGAGTCTCACGATATCCAGCAGTGTCCCATCCGTGCGGAGTGCGGTATGTGAGCACTGAGATTGAATTGGAATGGCGCAACCGATAAGTTTCAGAAACTCACCAAAGATTCCCGATAGACCAGAGACTCCCTCGGCTTGTGTTTACATGCCACCGCAGCAAGCACTAACTGCATGTTCTCGTGAATCAGCAATATGACTGTCACGGAGATCGATACGGGCGCAAGGGAGATTAGGGTCTATAACCCACGAATTGGAGCCTTGAAGAGCGCGTGCGCGATCCGAGCATATCGGTCCGCCAGCGGCCACAGAGAAGGATTGTCGAGCCCGAATCTTCGGGACAGAGAACATCAGATCAGTCACTGACGCTGACTCCAGGGACCCGTACCGCTGTATCACCAACGACCGCTCCGTCTGCAGTTCTTTCGAAGGCGAGTTGAGTCTAGACGTCCCGCGTCGGGGGTCAGGCAAACGGCAGAGAAGTCAGGAGTCTCACAAGCCGTGATTGGGCTCAGGCCCAGGCGAGCCGCATAGCGAACCGGGAGGAGTGACTTTGACAGTAAGATTCCTCCCCGTATCAGATCCCTCGTGAGACCTGGCGTCCGATGCAGCACTCGAGGGGCTTATTCTTGCTGGGGAAGTGGCAGTGGCGGACGAGCTCGACCGGAGGTTGTGCGACATCAAGCTGGGGCATGGACTGCCCAACCGGCGCGATGGGGGTAGGTGGAGCGGGTAAGTGTCAGCGGTGGATTAAGCTAAGGTGTGGGGCGGAAAAAGGGGCTTTTCGGGCTTGAACCCGCTCCTGTTTGCATGACCATCGACAAGACATTCGTCGTCCATTTTGGTATTTTGGTTCCGCTTTCGGAGATCGCACTGGCAGCGGCAGACGTCAAAGCGACAAATACAGCGCTGACTCAGCAATCGCGAATGCAGCCGTAATGGGATCACTGCTTGCTTCGCGCGATCACGCACAATCTAGACGCAGCAATCAACCGCTACTCTCCATGAAGTGCTTTGCTATGAGAAACCGCCCCAAAACTAGCCCTGTTCACCGTCCTCTATTGAATAATACCGCAAAGAAAGCTCGGACCCGTGCACTGCCACCTGTCTGACACATCGCGACTCATCCCTGTACGACAATGTGTATAAGTCGGTAGCAACAGTGTGCCGCACTATCAAATTCAAACGACGCGAAACCCGCCCCTAACCAACCATGTCAGAATCCGCCGTCCGCTCTACTCCAGGAGGCGGTCTGGTACTTTCGGGACGAGCCGTCGACGATATGGCAACGAACGTCTTACATCTGGTGCCTCCTACGATACAACAGCGCCGGGATTTTTGCATCGTCCTCGTCTCGGATGAAGAATCTGCCAGACTGTTTCCCGTCCAGAAAGCCGCCTCCGCGTCGATCGACACCGCCCATCTCAATGCGGTGGGGCTGGGCAGCGGGAGCACGACGGTGCCCGATGTGTTCTTCCTGGTCGTGGTCTGGGCGGCCGGGCAGCTGTTCCGCAAGCGGGCTGGTCTACCACCTGCGCAGTTCCACGTCCAACTCTCGGTCCATGACGATCTGGATGCGGACAAGAGCGTGGCTTCACTCCTCCCCGATCAGTTTCCGGACTCTCCTTCTGCTGAACTTTTAGACCACCTAGCATTTACACTGCATTTATCTAGTCTGTTCGATGATGCCGAGAAATACAGCGCGATGCTAGTCCGCGCTTTCCCAGAATCCCAACGCGGGTATCTGAGGCTGGGCGACTCGGCGATGGGATCGCAGAAGCACAAACTCGCGATGCTCGCATATGGCTGTGCCTTTTCTCGCGCAGGAGACGACCAGCGCACACAGACATACGTGCTGAAGAAAATGTTTGAGTGTGCGCAGCACACGGAATGGGGCTCGGTCGTGCGCTCGGAGGAGATTGAGCAGATCCCCGGCGGTATCTCCGACATCCTCCTTGCGCCCTGGCCTGATGGATTGCGAGACGCTCTGGCAGAAAGGGATGATTTCATGCCTACTCTGCAGCTCGAGCCCCGCCGACCGCTCTTCATCCCTGGCCCGACCCGGAAACCGGCCCTCTCCAAACTGCCTCGCTGGTTCCGCTGGCTCGTCCCGTACCATCTCGCAATCATGTCGACGCCCAAAAACGAGGAGGACATCGCTGCACTGGCCTCGCCCCATCTAGGCATCCGGCACGTGCTGACGCTGACCGAGGAAGAGCCTCTGCCGCGGAAATGGTTCCACGGCAAACCCATCACGAACTCCTTCTGCCCGATCCCCAATTTGGAGCCGCCGTCGCTGGAGCAGATGGAGCTCATCATGCGTCTGTTCGACGACCAGACCAAGCTGCCGCTGCTGGTCCACTGCGGCGGAGGCAAGGGCCGCGCGGGCACCGTCGCCGCGTGCTACCTCGCCGCCTACGGCTTCCGTCGTCCGGTGATGCGCCAGGACCACCCGGAGATGGCTGCGTCGGACGCCATCGCCAGTCTGCGCCTCCTGCGGCCCGGCAGCTTGGAGACATCGCGGCAGGAAGCGTTCGTGTCAACCTGGTGCAGCGCGATCTGGAAGCGCCGGGCGGTGAAGGCGGACGGAGTTCCCGAGCCACCGCCGTGCGAGCTGGAAATCCAAGGGGAACCGCTGGTTGCGCCGAACGATCTTTTCATGCTGGTCGGGCTCCCGGGGTCTGGCAAGTCGTGGTTCTCCCAGGCGGTGTGTGCGAGGAATCCCAGTGGCTGGCGCCGCATCTCGCAGGATGAGTCGGGGAGCAGAGCGAGTTGTGAGACCGAAATCGGCCGCAAGGGCCGGACGCTTCTAGATAGGTGCAATGCCTCTGCTGCAGATCGCAAGATATGGCTCGCCCTTGCGTCGAATTGGGTGGAATCGCCAGTCTGCATCTGGTTCGATGTGAGTAATTGATGCGCATCTTCTGCACGAATCTGAAGCTTTGTCCAGTATGACAGGTCTCTCTGTGAATCGCGTGCGCAGAGACGAATGACTCATCCGACTCTTCCGCCCGGCAGTCGTGTTCCCAATGCGATAGCCCAGATGCACAACACATTCGACGAACCGTCCTTGAGCGAAGGCTTCAAGACCATCGTCCGGGTTAAATCCTTCGAAGCCGCTGCGGAGCTGGTCGAGCGCCTCTCGCCTCCGCTCGGGGTTTACAAATTCCCCCGAACGCCGCATCTGCTCAACCTGGGCTCTGCCACCGACGACGACGTCTTCACGGACACCGGCGCGCTGCGCCACTCGCACGTCGTGATCACCGAAAAAGTCGACGGCACCAACATGGGCTTCTGGCTCTCCCCGGCGCGCGAGCTGCGCATCCAGAACCGGTCGCACTACGTGTCGCCCGCGTCGCACGAGCAGTTCAAGAAGCTCGGGCTGTGGGTCGACACGCACCGGAATGCGCTCGTCCGCGTGCTGGGCCGCGACGCGCACTTCCCGAGCCGGTACATCCTCTACGGCGAGTGGCTCGCTGCGACGCACGCGATCCCGTACGAGTCGCTGCCGGACCGCTTCCTCGCGTTCGACCTGTACGACCGGCGCACGGACACATGGGCTAGCCGCGCGGCGCTCGCGGCGCTCCTATACGACACGGCGATCCACCTCGTGCCGCTGCTGTACGAGGGCCCGATGCCCGTGGACGCGCAGCTGAGGGAGATGGTGGGCCGCGGGTCGCTGTTCTACTCCGGCCGCGTCGAGGGCGTGTATGTCAAGGGCGAGCGCGACGGTGTCGTCGTCTCGCGTGGCAAGGTCGTCCGAGCGGACTTCATCGCGGGGAACGAGCACTGGACGAGGGGCAAGCTGCGGCTCAACGGTCTAGCACGACCATAGTATTATATGTTGTATCTATGCGCATGTATGTATGTATGTAGATGGACTACGCACGAAACGTATCTGGCACCTCGTAAGGTGGCCTCCCATTCCTCTGAGCGCCGCCGAAATAAATGCCCGTCGTTCTCCCCTCCGAGTTTATCACAGTTCAGCTACGCAGATGGTGGGTACCCAAGCTGCGCATTGAATGTGGAGGGGTACAATGGAAATGACACACGCTTGCGAGACTGAAATTCATTGGCATTGACATTGACCGAGTGGCTGGAAGAAAGGAGAGGAAAAAAAACAAGTGGGCAACGCCACGCCACTGATGGATATATGCGGCGTTGATGATCGGCCATTATCACGTGTGACGCGATCTTCGTCTGCCATGATCACGTGTACCTCGGTTGAAGATCCGGAGAAAGGGAAACTACATCCAGTACACCCATCAACATCTCCGATACTACGGCCTCAAAATAGGTTGCGGGCCCCGGAATATCTCACCCTCGGATATCCCAAAATTGTCCTACGAATCACTTCTTTTTCACTCACACGAAGCACAGAGCGGCCGATCGCACTGTGCCACTGTTACAAATTACTTGGTCTCTCTTACAGGCCTGATTGATAACAGTTGATAACGGACCAGAGACTTATATAACAAAGAACACGACTGACCAACCCTGATGCCGAATACAATCCGGTCAAGCTGCAGATAGCCTTCCAAGGGATACTCCGCCGCAGCGAAACCAATTATCAGGGACAAAGGTCCGCGTCCGTTCTCCTTGCGTCCATGTTATATGTACAAACTACTACAATATATGCACTACATCCGATGATTTTACACGAGCCATCCGATCTCGAGGTCAACCCTCATCTCTATGTGGAGAGCCGATACCTGACCGAACGAGTCCAGCAGGCGAGCGAGAATGGCTGTCTCGCGCGCGAGGCTCCTCACGGATGAGGTCGTGATCAGACTCGGGATCACTGACGGGCTCGAGATTGAATGCAGCGACGATGCGGCTGAGGTTGTCGTCGTTCAATATTCCGTCTTCAGACCGGCCGTGGATATTCAGCATTAACCGGACCAGCATGGTCACGGAAAAACTGTGTGCGTTGAGCACATGAGACCTGTATCGGGGTGGTAAGCGTACCAGGTGGCGAATGAGGCGAGAGTGCCCCGGATATGGCGCTGCCAGATAAGTCAGTCACACACTCCTCGGTTATCATGAGAAGATAGGACAAACATTTGGAGTCTGAGTGAATTGTATCAGATACTAGGCTCCCAGAGAGAAAGGATGGACGAACCAGGAAGGTGACAATGTTCGCCAGATTTGCCAGAGCCATGGTCCTGTGCAAGTCAGTAAGCAGGACCTCACGGCATCCACTTGGTCTCCCACCCGTAATAAACAGCACCTGGACAGAACATCGATCGACGCTCGACATAAACTCCAAAAAAAGACACACCATCGAAAACTAGAACGCGATGCAAAGGCATATGCATCCGCGCGCCTACTTCCCGTCGAGAAACGCTTCCAAAATAGAGCGTCAGCCCGAAAATAATCGTGTCGAAGGTGAACAGGCAGATCCAACAAATGCTGAGGCCTGTGGGAACAGATCAATCCGAAGGACTGCGGCGCAAGATAGCGGAACCCACGGCTGGCACTATCAAGAATTTGAGCAGATGGACATGGCCAGAATAGAAAAGAAGAAGGCGCACCCCAGTTGCGAAACTCCCAGATGACACCCCGGGACGACGGTTATGGGATAGCCGCGCTGCCCTTGACGGAGACTCCACTGAACAGGCCATCATCACACATGGCTAGGAAGCGAGCGGTGGGAAACACGCACGGCGGTCAAGCCGACAAGGCTGATAGCGATCAGAATGATGGAGAGAAGCAGGCGGCGGTTTCGTCCAGAGAGCGCGTAAACGCGCCCGATCATGATCACTGAGCAGAGAGGGGCAAATCAATACCTAATCGACCCTGCCCATGGCAAGGCAACGGACCAGACACCACCAGTTGCGTGAGCAACATACCGACCTGATGCGTAATAGCGACGAGATAGCATCTGCATCCGTTCAATGGGGATAACAATAAGCAATGAGGAAGCAACGTACGACTGTCATATGTCCAACAAACCCAGCGTCAGCAGTCGAGCATACTTCTCAGCCATATCGGGTCCCGTACCGTCAAAGATATGGGCGCATAGATGAAGATGAGGTGGGGGAGATTGGCGACGATGACCCCGTAGCGCACGACCAGGAAGAGATACGCGCTCATCCTCTTCTTACGAGCCCAGATGTACTGGATCTCCTGGTCTGTCCTTGATCAATACAAAAGCGATTCGGGGACGTGGACGTACGCACCGAATGTCAGGGCATGGTCCCACAGGAGAATAGAAAGAGCGACGAGATATGAGCAGTCCTGCGTGAGCCTGTATTCGAACCGTCCACATCTGCTTTCACGCGGCGAGAAACTGCTGTAACGCACGCCGTCTGTGCCTGCGACACGATATCGATGTCTTCGTATTCCATGAGCCCCGGTGAGACCTCTCGTACGCGCAGACGAGTGGATAGAGGGGGAACAGGTTGGTTGATCTGGGCAAAGCGCGCTTGGACTCTGAAAATCCATGAGATGCCAACGTTCAGGAGCGAATCGGGAATACTCACAGCCGGGTGAGGCAACCAACACTCCTGTGCAGCGGCGCGCGGACAGGGCTCAAACGCTGTCAGGCCCCTCCCATGCGCGTGAGGGCGCGGAAGAAAAGAATGCAAGTGTCAAGGGAAATGCAGTCATGTCAATGATGGGAATACGAAGGGAGGTCGGGCACGTGGGTCGCGGCCGCCGCTACGAATAAGGTATCATTGTCATTGATGGTCTTACAACTGAGCCGGCCAAAGTCCGTCTGAACGCCTGCCAGCACTCTCATCCTTACTCGGGACACGTAACGCGTCGTCGTCTCGTCAACATGGCTAGCCCCTCGAAGGAAGATCCCACTGTCGTCGAGGAGGAAGAGTTCCCACAGGCTGGGGTGGAGAACGAGAACGAGAATGAGAACGAGAACGAGAACGCAAACGACGAGGAGGGAGACGAGAGCGACGAGTACGACGTGGAGGATGAGGGAGATGACGGCTACGAGGATGTACGTGGATTCTTTCGACTGCTCTCTCGCCAGAGCTGACCTTAGCTGCAGGAAGCAGAGGGGAGTCCTCAACAGGTATGTTCAATATATGCGCTCTGTTTGATCGGCATTCTCAACGATCGGTAGCAGTCAAGCTTGACTGCTTTGCTTCTCGGGAATGTAGGCCTGGGTCGACCCCTTTCCTCCGGCAGTTGCTGAGTGTTTTTCGTCTAGCGCGCGCCTGTCACCGGCGAAAATCAGGACGTGGGCGAGGACGTCGGTGATGACTACGACGACGACGACGACGACGACGACGACGACTATCTCCAGGAAGACAACCAGGAAGCCGGCGCCCTCTCCAAAAAGCGTAGCATCGAGGAGGTTGAGGATGAAGAGGAGCCCGTGAACGGGGAGACCAAGAAAGTCAAGACTTGAAGACCACGGCCGTCGCCTAAAATCAAACTGCGCTATCATTATACATCCATTCTATCTCTGTTCTACTGGCTATTGGCCTCTTGTTGTTTGTATACATACGCTGCTGTGTACCGTGTTTTGTGGACTGCGAATATAAAATTGTACGACTCGTTCAACGCTCAAGGGACCAACGCTTCTTCGTGCCAGCCGTCGGCCGCTCGCCAGAACCGCGTCCTCCGATTGGGAACCGGAGCCAGCTCGACAAAGTCGACGTCCGTGGGGTTCACGATGAGCAGCGCAAAGTTCGAAAGCGACAGATCCCACAGCCGTTGAGCCTCCGCATCGCCCGGCTTCGGTTCCTGCAACTCGGTCGGCCACTTCTTCGCCTCGTCCTGCCCGCCCTCCAGCTTGCTGCCCGGGACGGGTCGACACCAGCTGGCCTTCATCTGCGGGCTCATCTTCTTGAAGGCCTCGACCCGTTTGGCCTCCCAGTCGTAATCGCTCGCGAGCCCCAGCGCGGAGATAGTGTGCATGAAGTGCTTGCGCAGATCGCCGGGCGCCGGGACGATGTGTGCTTTGCCGGCGATGCGGTACTGCTCCTGCGTTCCTTGGATGTACCACGCAATCTGCACGTTCGGGTTGGCGATCATCTGCGCCGTCTTGGGCGTGCGCACATCTCGTTCGCGTTTTCAAGACAGCGGTTCATGAGAGACATAAGACAGACTGACCCGTGGTGGAGAGGATGAGCGGCTGCGAGGGGTCACTTGTAGTCATGAATTCGCGGAAGACGAGAGACCGGACATGGGGTATCGAGGCGGATGGGTCAAGCGAGGCGAGTTGGACGACTGTGATGCCCAGAAAAGTTGGTATCATTCACGCGAGCAGCACACCTTTCCAGTCGCACCAGTCTGTTTGGGATATGTTGCAAGAGCTTTGTCAAGAGCTGTCTTCCACAGAGGAGCTGCAAGCTGCTGCATCGTTGTGAGCGAGTGATCAGTGGAGGCGATCAAGGAGCGTTAGAAGGTATCACGCGATTCGCCATATCTAGTCGATACAAAGTATAATACATGCTTCAGGTTTGAATAAAATTACCGACAATCATCGTTGGAATCCCCCACTTATCTCGACGTATCGTGAAAGAAAAGCAACAATTGATGAAGTCGCCCTCTTCCTGTACCATTGGGGGAGACTCGTCGCCTCCAGCTCTGGCTACCTCGGAAGCCGCATTGGGAAGCGAGTTTGACGAGGGCAAGACTGGCTTATATCGCAACACACAGGTGGTTAGAACGGCTTTTTGTGAAGAGTCGAACGCGACGTTGCCGTATTTCTATGCTTGCGTAAGTGCTCGTGTGAGCAGAGAACAGGAAGCATAGGACAGACCTCCCAATAGTTGACCGCACTCTCTTCAGACATCAGCTCGTAAATGCAAAGCCGCCCCTCCCGCATGTCCTCTCCGCTCACCCCAACTAGCTCACTGAACTCTCGATTTCCTTTGTAGATCTCGCCAGTCCGGCGCCACAGGCAGGCAGGGACACCCATCGCAGAGAACACGCGATCGTAGTCTAACAGTAGACGCTCGAAGGCTTCTTCGATGAAAACCAGATCCTGAAAGCTATCAAAAGGATGCCGTGACCAAGACAGTTCTCGTACGATATCTCGCAAGCTCTGTGCTACAGCACGGAACTTGGGACGCAGCACAGAAAGCGGCTGCAATATCTGCTGCTTTGATTCTTGTGATACGCTGGGTCCGGGTTGAGGGACACAGCAGCCAGATGAGCAACAACAATAACGCACTTGCGATCCATCCATCTACTCAGACGGGCATATCCCTTGACATAGTTGTATGGCTTGAGGAGACCCGCCTCGTACTTGCTGCGAATGACACGATTTAGACGCTCGTCTCGTGAGCCCGACTCCTGGTCCGCGGCAGTTAAGAGAAATCGTTCGGTCTTTGTGGCAGCAGGGATGACAGAGGGTGTGATGGGTGGCGGCTGCGCAGGCGCAACCTGCGCTTGTTGGGGTACGGGAAGTGGTAATATGGTGGTGCCCTGCGGTGTCGGACCAGAAAAGAAAGTGCCTTCGTCCAATGTCTCGAGGAAATCACTGAAACTCGGTTCGAGCCATTGACAAAGCCGTGCGAAGAGCACACACACCTGAGCATGGAGAATTCGTTGCCCAACGTCTCAGGCTGGATCAGATATGGTGATTTATTCCATTGCGTTGCCGAGGTGAAGGTCATAGATTGCCCATTAGGTACGGGGGTCGAGCCGCTGCTCTGCTTGTCTGACCCTTTGGACTTTCGTTCGTCATGACACAGATGCCCAATCTCTCGTTTGATGCTTGTCAAAATGACCGTAAGTTTGGGAGTATCAGGGCAGCTGCAGACAACTCACCATCGTTGGCACGGACGTCCCTCATCGCAGGTCATATGGCTGCGCCGGCAATAGAGGCAGGCATGATTGACCTTGCGGCGTTTAGATCCTTTCCTCGAATCATCCGTCTCCTGCGCTGGTCCTGATGATGCTGAAACAAGACGCTGTGGTGTGTTGGCTAGGTTGGTGGCAGAGTCGACTAGCTCAGGCGCAGAGGGATAGTTTTGACCGAAACCGTCCATAGCAGTGAAAGGTTGATATGACGTCGCCGCTGAGAGATTCACGTGAGTTCGCGCCGATGGGCCCAGTCCTGCCCGTGCCAGTGACTTGGGATAACAAAAGTGTCTCGAGTGTTCTAGCGGTGAAGGTTGGCTATCGTGGTCAGACAACTGCCAGTTGTGGCAGGGGAATGTTCGGTGGAAGCCAGAAAAGTCGAGCACGCGATGCGCAAATACGGATACACACTTTGACCCCTTCGAATCTCTTCGAATCCCCACAACACCTGTGCATCAATGGAACCCGTTCTCTTTGAATATCGTTATTCAGGATTGACTCTTACGGAAAGCGTGGACACCTTCGCGGGAAGGATAGCTCAATGGGTCCATTGGCCCCATGTCTTCCAAGTCGGCCTCAGATTCCGGACTCAAGTCGCACTTCTAATGTATCATGCCCATTTCAAGCGCATGGAGAGAACGTGAAAATGCTTGGGCCTGGTCCATGGATATCGGCGATCTATCGTCCAGGTTGAAGCTTGCTGACAGGCATGGCCACCAGAACGCCTTCGTTCACAGGGAATGCCAATCTCAGCCTTTTGCAGCTCTCTTGCTTTCGTCAAAGAAGTCTCATTCACCCGATATCGGATTCAGGCCGTTTTCTCCGACCTCGACCGTGACAGGATGATGAGAGCACCGAGATCGCGAACCAGCGATAGTCAGAACCTCATCAATCTTCGAGAAAGCAACTTGGAGACCGGATGCACTTGAGCTAGTGGCTGTCGCCAGCATGCACACGAAGTGAAGTTGTATGGAACGATCATCCACCAGTCGCCAGTTTGGCGAAGCCAAATGCATCTTCCAGACACATCCTCCTCGCGAGCTCTATCGGGTTCGTTCTCGATTCAACACGGCGATGGGTCGACAGCCAGTTTTTCAGTCTACGTTGACAAGTCCTGCGTTGCACCGTGCACGGGTCACCGCCATGGCTCGGCACTTCAGTCCCGTGACCCCGATCCCATCTAGTTTCGCCGACGCCACGCACCCGATCGACGGGATTGTCGGTCTCGCGTGTTCAACCTGTCAAATTTGGGTGAAAGCCCTTTTCCAACAGCGCTGTGAATCAAGGAGAACCGGCTTGGGAAGTTTCTCGTCGGCGACGCTTGAAAGCTGTATCTCAGAGGAACCAACTGGAGCAAGCACACTAGCAATGTAGAGTCGCATGGAATCAGCAGCTTCTGGCAGACGGGTCACTGGTTCTGCCATCGGAGTGCGCAGCAGACGGTTAACTGGGTTGCGATGTTTGAAACGATCATTGGCTCTGGGACGATTGTCATCATACCGTATATGGCCCACCCGATGCCGTGAAGCAGGTGCTGGGCTCGGTAGTATTTGACTTCAGGTCTGATGATTCCGCGATCTCCTTGAAACCAGGTTCACTTGAAGACCTGCGGCAAGTTGGTACCAGTGCTTATGTTATTGTCGGCTGACCGCGCATTCAGTAACAAGAGACTGGGTAGTCTCGCCGCACAACTTCAGCCGCGGTTCACCTGAGTGCATAGGCGTGCAGATTTTGGTTTGGGAAATGACGTTTGGCTGCTGGGAGACAGATTGCGTATAGTATAGTGTCTTTGATTTCAGCACTGCCCTTTGGTTCGTTGCCTTGCCGTGATCGTCTTTACCTCTCTCCGATGTCACTGGTCCTTGTTCATGCGGACCGTATGTATAACATTAACTTGGTAATTGGATCTTGGCATGTTGGCAAGGAGTAGACACCGCCATGCCCATCGTGTTTTGATGGGTGATGAATAGCGTCTTCAACTAGTTTTAACAATCTCTGTTCTTTCTTTCACCTCCGTCTTCGCCTCCCCTCCCGCTATCCTTTTCTTATTTTCTTTTTCTCCAGCGGGTCCGGGACTCCTTTACTTCATTCTTTTCTCCGATTCTTCTGTCTTATTTGACCGGCAATGTTCGTACGACCCACTTTGATCTTGGCTTCTGTGACTCTGGCGCTGGCGGCGGTGGTTCCGAAGAAGCGGTACGTCCGGCTACTCTAGCTTCAAGGGTCCGCTTTGATGTCTGCCGCTCAGTGCGACTGTCTGCAACGGACACGCTGAGCTGTGCGACCGACTCTACTCAAACGTCACGTACATCGGCGCGCACGACTCCTTCGCGTTCAGCAAAGATCCCCTTGCCCGTGCGTGATGATCTGAGCGATGTCCTCGAACAGCTACCAACACGGTTACATTTGCATCACAGTTGCGCGCGACCAAGAGATCGACATCCCGTCGCAACTCGCGCTGGGCGTGCGACTTCTACAAGCTCAATCGCACATCGACAACGGCGTCCTCAAGTTCTGCCACACCTCTTGCACGCTGTTCGACGGGGGCTCCGTGCAGGACTACCTCACGAAAGTCAAGACCTTCCTCGACGCGAACCCGAACGAAGTGCTCACGCTCATATTCACGAACCCCGACGGCGCAGATCTGCAAACTCAGTGGAAGCCCGCATTCGATAACGCGGGCATCTCGGATCTCGCGTTCGTGCCGCCATCGCTGCCCGTCAAGCAAGCCGACTGGCCGACGCTCGGGCAGATGATCGATTCGGGCAAACGCGTGGTGGTGTTCCTGGACGCGGGCGCCGACGGCGCGAACCCCGTCGACTTCATCCTCCCGGAGTTCCCGATGATCTGGGAGACGCCGTTCTCCGTCACGGACAAGACGTTCCCGTGCTCCATAGACAGGATCGCGGGCCCGCTGGGCGCGGCGGACCACATGTACATGATCAACCACTCGTTCAACGTGAATATCCTGCCGTTTGGGGGTGGGGTCATCGTCAGCGACCCGCTCGACGCCCCGACGACGAATAGTGTTGATTCGTGCGTGCTTGATGTGCTTTCTTGTGCATTTGCTGATTCATCCATGCAGTATCCTCGCGAACGCTGCTGGATGCAACGCCCTGGGCTCTGGACGAGCCCCCAACTTTGTGCTGCTCGATTTCGTCAATCTCGGGCAAGGGTTTGCGGCCGCAGACAAGTTGAACGGTCTTGCTTGAAGCTGGGTTGGAGCGTCGTCATTATTACTTGGGCAGTTTCGCTTTGCATAATGGGTATATCAGTTCAGTTGGTAGTAACTCTCGCGGTCACGGAGGTACAGCACCTTCCAGCAAGTGGTACTTACCTGAATGGTCTGAGTTGCCAGTGGAACGTTTGTCACTGTCACTCTCGCTCGCCTTCCGGGATTTCAAATAAGTCGTCACGGGACAAAGGGGTCACTGGTCAATAAACGACGCGTCGCGTGTCTCGACTTGATCTCTCTTCATCTCCCCCATGAATCAAGACGACTCCATTGCAATTCTATTTTCCTTTTACGACTATGGCCCCATTCAACCTAACACCGACGAGTTCGAGCAACCGAAACGCATGCGATTCTGGGATGGGCCTATCCGCGCATTTCTTCGAGACCAGGGGGCTACATGATGAATGATTTCTGCTTGTTGGAAGATGAAGTAATCGACTCGATCGGATGCTACATGTTTCCCGAGACGCCTTGTGCTACAGCGAGGCCCCAGGATCCCCGCTTTGCGTCTATGGAATCATCCCCAGCGGAGGCTTGGAGGGTGTTGTACACAAAGCCTTTACAGGCACATACCGATGTAAGGACGCCAATTCTTACCTTGTTTCAGCTTCAATCGAACTCTTTTCACGGTAGACACGTCTTTGCTCAGGAAACCGAGCATCCGGAGAACCATGTCGCCATCAAGCTCATTCGGCACGACAGCCCCGAGCACCACATTATGAAGCTTTTGCAAGAAGAGGCAGAGGGGAAACCTATTCGCGGCCTAGTTCCCGTTCTCAAGCTTCTACCGTTTGGTGGGCATTGGCTTGCGGTCATGCCGCGGTGCGTGAGAGTATTCAACGGCTGTTCCTGACTGAGCGATCGAGTCAAGGTGGAGCGGCAATGTTGACAGTCTACGACCCCGGACTACCGGGCAGGTGCCGGACCGATTTGAAGATGCGCTTTCTGGCTTGGCCTACCTGCATGAGCGGAGAATCGTCCATAAGGTACGCAACATCGTCCATATTCTCCCTGTCCGATGCTGAATAACACAGGATATCTCCAAAGCGATATGCTGGTCAACCATGTTCCCATCCGGGTCGAACTGTTAGAGGAAATGTCCAATCCTATACGTCTGCAGTTGAGGGAACAAGGGCGGCTGAATTTGGCTCTGTTCGACTATAATCTCTCGCTTGTCTTCCCGAGAGTTGGCGCTCGCACGCTCGTCTTTTGAGGATCATTGGATCGGTCAGTGGAAAACAGACTCCGATATCGCTCAGGATGACTATCAATACAGCCCTTTTGCTCTGGACGTTGTGCGCATGGCAGACTACATGGGTGGATGCATCTAGGTATGCATTCCTCAACCACGCTCATTCTTGTCCATTTCAACTCTTCTCAGCATCTGACACCCATCGCCCCATCCTCGCGCCTGCAACCGATGGCATGGTCCACTTGCATGCGCCATCCAGCTTGACTGCAGCAGGGGCCTTGCCATCTCCTTACGGGATCTCAGACGAGAGTACGATCCTGCCATGGCACATCTTTCTGCACCCACCATTGAGGAGATGAGTTGCGGATATCTGTCTCTGCGGGATTGTGACCGGTGGAAAGGACTGCCCGAGGACTTCATCCTGCGTTGGAGACATCTGCGCATGCCACCGATCCCACCTCATAGCCGGCTGCTCCGCTTCCTCTGCTCGTTTGAACCTATCTGTAAAGTTATTCAGGCGGTCCGCCGCGCAGCAGATGGTCTGTTTGGCACAGCATATATATATCTATGTCGACCATAGACATCGTGTGAAACACGTGCTTTTCACATGACCGCGTGTAATGGCGTTGTACTTGGTACTTAACTTATATCTGCTCACTTCTCCCTCTCTTCTCATAAAAGCACAGTTCTGTTTATGTTTCCATGCTACAATGCCCATTTCATGCTTTCTTTCGCCGCACTAGGATATCTCTATCTGGACGACACTTTTCATTTGTCGTCCTTGCCCATATGCGGAGCAAGCTCCCGTTGGGACCTTACCAGATACTCGTTGAGCGTCAATATTTAGCCGCTCGGGATGGGATCATTGTTTGCGGCGCGGCCGATGTGCGAACGACACTGAGATTTCATTACCACGTACTCGTAAAATCTTACAGAGCGGGCGATTAAAACCTGAATTTATATCATAGATTGTGTTCAAATCGGCAATCTAGTAAGACCAACTGTAACTTGTGGATGGTAAAAAAAAACATGTAATGCCAGTGGGCACTTGGTTGTCATGAGCACTGGTCTGGCGAGGGTGACAGCGGAGGTAAGATAGAGAGGGGGGCGATGGCAGGGATGCCAGCAGAGGCAGCATTGACTGTAAGGTGCACACGGGGGCAGGAGTGACAGTGGCTCTCATCCCACAAGGAAGGAAAGCATGCGTCTGAGAAAACGTACACAACTTGCGAGGGAGTCATGTCTGCAGATCCTTCGCAGGAAAGATCTCGTCCAAGGAACCGGCGGGGTCCGAAGATGCCCCCACCGCTTGACAAAGTCGTCGGGCAATCCCGCCCACCGGTCGTATTCCGTCACATGAATGAACCGCTTCTTGACCGCAGGAAGTGGCTGCTTATCCAGGTCCCCGCTCTCGGCCCTCAACGAACGTAGCAGGCCAAGTGCCCCGGACGCTGTCAGCCGAGACGGGACATGCCAATGAAGCATCCCGTCGAACAGAGGTGCCAGGATGGGCACATAAGGTGTATGATACTATCCGGACGGTCAGCAGCCAGCACTCATAACCGTCTCTGACGCGCACCTGCAGATCGACGCAAAGATCCCCGGCCAGAATGGACACGTCCGCCGCAAACGGATCGTAGTCGTATTCCCCTTGATATATTTCGTCAGTCCACTTGTATGCTCCGAGCCAGAATTCAGCATAGGGCAGCCGGGCGGAGGCTCGATCAGGGAAGACCAGCGCAACATCAAAGTCGAAGATCGCATGCCGCAGAACGCCTGCGTCTCGCAGCGCTTGGCGGGTCGCCGGAGGGTCATCTATTTCAGTCGCCAGGACAGGTACGTGGTTGACCAGGGTGTTCCTGTAGGAGTGATCCTGCAGGACATCAGCGCGAACACGAAGCGCTGCAGATTTGGAGGTTCACCCTGTGCACGATATTATGACTGTGGAGAAACGCGAAACCCTCGAGCAGATCCTCGAGGAGGTTCAGGACGGGTCCGATAGTCGTCGGGAACGGTGCCATAATGCCTTCACCCCATCTGATAGACCGCTAAGACATCAGAATATCGACCTCGAAAGACCTGACCGTACCTCGGCATGACAACCAGCCAGTTGCCGCCAAACGGTATGATATCCAGGACAGGAATCAGTCCGCGCACCGGCTTCTCTTTGGATCTTCCGTGAATCAGCTTGAGCACATGTATCTCGACGCTCTTGTCCCGCACAAGCTTGACTGCGACGTGACGATCCGGCCTGTCGATATGCTGAGCAAAGACCGCTCGTCCCTGATGTCCGTCGGCGGTCAGCCGCGACGAGTGGCCCAGCCAAAGGCTCGATGGACGCACCCGAGCTTCCCGAGCGTAAGCCGTCTCCATCTGAGCATAGAGTGTCTTCTCCCGAGCCTCTTCCGCGTTCCTATCCCGGTCGTCTGGGTCCATTAACGCATAGCGGTCGTCGTCTAACGGGCGGCGGGGAGTCGACAGAGCCGGATACGTCAAAGCGAATTTGTCGGCACCGTCGTCCGCGATAGGGCAGATATTATACAGCTCATATCCACGTCGTGCGAGAAAAGTGCGGATGGGGCCGTCCCAAAAGTTCAGCCGGTCTTGCAGTCGGAATTCGGGTGCATCTCGATCTTCATATTCGTCGAGGGAGAAGGGAATCTCTATGTGTGGCTCGGAGAAGGCGGGCTGCGAGAGTGCCATTCGCGTGGGCTGCACGCACAATTCCGGTAAGAATATTCAGGAAGATCTCAGATGGAAACACAATCGAAGTCGATCAGTTGGCTTCGGCGGTCCAGCTGAACTTGTTGATGACAGAAGGGGGGACACGTGCTGATTACTCGATCACGGGATCGTGTCTGAACTTGCCCACGATCGCCCACACCCGGCGCCACGCAACCTCTACGCGACATGGTCAGCGAGGCACTCTCTGAGGAATCTCTAGGGATCCCATTTTCATTGGACGAGCATGAAGACCGCGAAATACCCGAATTTCGAATGAAAGACCGAATTGCGTTCTGGGACGGCCCAATCCGCGCATTCTTACGCAAACATGGATACATGCTGTACAACATGCGCGCTTTTCCGGAATACGACTTGGATAGCGTCATGTATTCCGCCCTGGAGACGCCAGGCCAACTCTCGGACGACGAGCGCTACGCGTTCATGGATCGTGACTACCCCGAGGGATTGATCCCTGAGCCTCGAAAAGATGATTTGTATGATTCTCTACGCGTTACTGCATATTCGCGCGAATTTCGGGTGCGGCTTGTCTCAGAATAATATACGGTCATCTCTGAAATGACGTGCCAGGGTCGCGCCGCCTTTGCACAGAGTGAGGCGCGGCCAGATCGACACGTTGCTATCAAGCTGGTCCGAGCCGAAAGCGTCGAAATCCACACGCTCATACTGATCCACGAAACTTCGAAGGAGAAGCCCGTTCGGGGCCTCATCCCTGTCATCGAAATCATCCCATTCCGCGGTCACTGGCTCGTGGTTATGCCGAGTGGGGAGAAAGCATCATGGTTCCGTTCCCGACCGTCGCTAGACCGGTATTCGATCTCATCGAAGACCTCCTCGAGGGGCTTTCATTCCTCCACAGCCACAACATCGTTCATAGGGTCGGTCAACGGTGCTGTTTAGTGTGCTCCCTGTTCTTGCTGATGTGCTGCAGGATCACTCCTCCAAAAACATCCTGATGTCATGCAAACCCGATCTTGCAACGAACTCATATCTGCAGGTCCGTCGCAGAAAACAGGTTTGTTGCTGCGGCTGCGACTGCGGGGGCTGCTGCTGGAAGTGTGTTGTCAAAGCAGCCGGCCGCTGCTGCTGCTGGTTGTAACGGGACCGATTTGATTCGTAGCCGATCAGAGTGACAGCCCATGCGTCAAAACCAGTTGAGCACAAGTAAGAGAAACAGTACAGTATGCATACATGCATATGTAATGATGCCGTTGTCATTGTGTTGCTTTTGCCGCATTCGAACGCGTGAGAAGTCTCACGTGGTCTAGCACCCCGCGTTTCCTCCGGCTAACTTACTTTGAACAAAAGGCATTTCTGCGCAAACGATTTCCTGTCGTTGGGAACTACATATCCCACATCAAGAATTGGTGGGCACGAAGTTCATCGCGAAACATTACCTTTCATCTGATATCGCTCCAGAGCGTCGCGCGTGTCGGGGAGCGCCATCACACCCGGGTGAGACGGGGGAACCACCCACAACATGACTGGGCATCGGATCAGCTACAGCAGGACGAATTCAAGAAGAGCTGCGAGAGAAGGGACGAGCGCATTGGATGGCATGGGACCCAGCATCACGGACATATCTCAGTCTGCTCCCTCCTTTCGGGATCATCTGGCTGGAATTTCACGACCTCCCATCTGCTCATGACATTCGACGGCGACTAATTGAAACATATGCGCCTTCTCTCGAAGCGCCGCTGTGTCACAAGTTCTTGATGCAATCCGTCAATCTTCCGCACGACCCTGACGTGTGCCGTTGGCCAAATTGTGTTCCGCCCAAACTTGGCCTGGTTTCGCTGGTAGCCGTGTCTAAATCTGTAACTCAAGCGTTGGGCGCTTGGTGGCTGTGAACCGTGGCATTGTTCCAGCGAGGCAGTATGCGCGGAGACAAGGCTGCTCTAGCATGAGGCAGAGCAGCTCACCTCCTGCCTCTGACCATGCCACAAGCTGAGGAACGACAGACCGACAACCGAGAGGCCGATGAAGCATATTCCGAGCGCGAGCGGCCTCACGGGAACAAGCTCTGGGGCGTATACATATCCGAGGCGCAGAGTTCCGATAAGGGTCTCATCGATGGCTGGCGCAGTGAGATGGATGGGCTGCTCATTTTCGTGCGTCCCCAAACGATTTCGATCCCGGTCTCTCGAAGTGAATCTGGGTCTTCAGGCTGGTCTCTTCTCCGGCGTCGTCACGACATTCATCATCGAAAGCTACAAGACGCTGAGGCCCGACCCGGCCAGCGAGACCGTCGCGCTGCTCAACCAGATCTCGCGCCAGCTTGCGAACCTGAACAACGGCACGGCAGTAACAGACGCACTCCCTCCTGCCCCTGCCTTCTCGCCCCCGATCTCGTCCGTCGTTTGCAACGCGCTCTGGTTCACCAGCCTTGGGCTCAGCTTGTCATGCGCACTCGTTGCGACACTGGTCAAACAATGGGCGCAGGGCTTCCCGCACCGGACGGCCATGTTTCCCACCATCTCGATCCAGTCACGCATATACATGTATCTCCACAACGGGTTGCTTCGCTTCAACATGCATGCCGCGGTCCGCGCTCCCCTGCTTTTCCTGCACGGGGCACTGGTCCTGTTCTTCGGGGGTCTGGTGGCATTTCTTGTGCCCGTCAACAATGTCATCATGAGCATATTTTCCGCTCTCCTGCTCCTCTTCGTCTCGGTCTATGCCATGTTCACCGCGCACCCCTTGTTCTTCCTCGACAGTCCGTTCCAGACGCCACTGACGCAGATAATCTGGTCGCTGAACCAAATCTTGAGGAATGTTCTGAGGGCTTATGTTCCACAGACAGTCACCGCGATAGACACCGGGTCCCCCGCCAAACCTTCTGTGACTGTCGACACTCGACTGCAGACCCTCAGCATGCAGGAGGCCATGAAAAGCGCGTCCCTACATTCCACTGTCGAGACAGAGACCGCGGCCCTTGCGTGGACCATCCAATCTCTATCTGAAGACAACAAGCTCGAGCCATTTGTGGAGGGGCTCCCCCAGGCGCTGTGGGATTTCAAGACAAACCAGCCTCGTGGCGTGTATCGGACGCAGTTCAAGAGGCTGTTGCAGAATCCGCAGGTCCCTCTCGGCCAGCGGCTCGCGGACTTCATGGATGGCTCCAACAGCAATCTGCTTGATCCCACGGTCCGCTCCCGCCGACAGCTCGCCGTGCTCCGGGCCATCTGGGCTCTCTGCGCGTTCTCAATACACACCGAGTCACCTCTGGAGCGTCCGATTGGAGACATTGACGTGGAAGACGCGCTGCTCGGCTCCAAATTTCTCAGTTCTCCCGACGTGCAGTGCATGGTCCCCGCTGTGTTAGCTCTGGTTCGTCTGAACGTCATCGAGTTCGAACGCCTCTACGTGCAGAGGAGCAACTCGTACCGGGATCCCGAACTGGAGAAGCAGCGGACGTACAAGCAGTATCTCAGGGATCTTTCCGACAGCCCTGCCAGCTTCCAGCGGGAAGTGACCCACTCGCTCTTTTATCGCTCGGAAGACCCCTTCCAGGCCGGGGACCGCTATAACATTCTGCAATTGGGTCTAGAAGAGCTGATTAGATCGGGGGCGGATGGGACCGAGGACAATCTTGTCTTTGCTGCTCGCCGGATGATCAGTGCGATTGCTGATGGGACCTGGAACACGCCGCCGCCCGGTATTGCGCTGTTCCTCGTCCGGCATCCCTCCCTCGCCGTTTATGGGCCGGACTCTGTCTGGCAGCCCGATCGGAAGTATCGTTACACGCGATACTTGTGTTACTGTCTCTGCCAGAACTTGGCGCACCGAATCGACCTCAAGCCATCTGTCGACTCCTTGCGGCTGATTTACGATCATTGGATAAACGACGACCCCCTCGCAAGGCACCCGGGAGACCTCGATACCCATTTCCATGTCCTCCGCACCCTGCGGAGTTCTGGCGCTCGAGCAGCAGACACCCACATGCACCGCTTGGTTGCCCTGGTCCAGTGCGTCGTGGTCTTCTGGGTCCGGCAGGATTTGTCGGAATCTGCGGAACTGCTGAGTATCTTCGACGACGAGCCCTGGTTCCGCGCAGCGATCGGTCTTGACGAGGAGGAGTGGACACAGCGAGCATCGACTCAGGGAACTCGTGACTTGATTCTCAGCTGTGCATGTGTGGGTGTCATGACCACGTTCCTCGAGCAGTGCGCCCAGAACCCAGACCAGACGGAGCCCGAGTTGGACTTTGAGACGCTCAAATCGGTCCAGAAATTCAGCGGCATCTGGGATCTGCAGCCGGGGAGCCGGGTGCTGGGGACCGAGATCCAACGTCGGTTCGCAGACGCCGTCTCTGACTTCCTCCGGAAATATCCAACGGACAGTCTCGCGGAGGGCAAGCCGCTCGGCTGGGTGCTTTTCTGTGCCGTCAACCAGGACCGGGGGTGGATAAACGATCTGGATGCATTGCAGGTCCTGGACGTGGCGGTGTTCGACACGCAGATGGACAGTCAGCAGCAGGCGCAGGGGTACTACGCTCCCTTCATCCACGAACAGATCGAAGAGCGGCTCCCTCCCGAGGTCATTTTCGGCGCCTATGTCTCGCTGGTGTCTGACGGGGAGTGAAGTAATTATTACACAGGGTGTAGTTTTTCTCATATTTAGCCTGAGATAGATCGTGTATTTTATATGCAAAACCAGCAACGCGAGTTTTGATTTACTTTAGTGCGATAGTCGAGCAGCCCGCATCTTCACATTTCCCCTCCTGGCTTGAGACTTATTGAGACTTACATGTCGTTGTGTCACAGCGTTGGTCCAACGAGTGCGGAGAACGCAAGCCCCATCAGGCATAATCAGAGGCCCTATCCAAGGCTGCACCGGGAGGGATCACCCACCGCGACTGGACCTATGCGGTGAAACCATCTGAGTCCATCCTCAGTGGCCTCTCAACTTCACTCGAATCACTTGACAGTCCAGACCGATTAAGTTAAGTAGTGATGCCCATCCCCGTGACAGGGACACGACGTGTCACTATCACAAGTTGGAGTTCGAGGACCGTGACAATCAACGACCGCTTACCAGATCGCACGACTCTCAACACCGACCACTAGGGACAGGCAACATGTCTGGAACCGAAACCGCGTCTTGCGAGGAAGCTATAGTAGTTCCCTTCTCCCTGGACGAATACGAAGATCGCGATGCACCCGAATTCCGACTGCAAGACCGCCTGGACTTTTGGGACGGCCCCATCCGCGCTTTTCTAACACGACGTGGATATGCGTTGTATAATATCTGCCCTATCGCGGACGACGGCGCTGACAGATTCGCTTTGACGTATCCGGCTCTGGCAACTCCCCGCCGCCCGTTAGACGACGACCGCTTCGCGTTCATGGACCCAGACGACCGGGATAGGAACGCGGAAGAGGCTCGGGAGAAGACACTCTATGCTCAGATGGAGACGGCTTACGCTCGGGAAGCTCGGGTGCGTCCATCGAGCCTTTGGCTGGGCCACTCGTCGCGGCTGACCGTCGACGGACATCAGGGACGAGCGGTCTTTGCTCAGCATATCGACAGGCCGGATCTTCACGTCGCAGTCAAGCTTGTGCGGGACAAGAGCGTCGAGATACATGTGCTCAAGCTGATTCACGAAAGATCCAAAGAGAAGCCGGTGCGCGGACTGATCCCTGTCCTGGATATCATACCCTTTGGTGGCCACTGGCTGGTTGTCATGCCAAGGTACGGTCAGGTCGATATTCTGAATCTCTGATGTCTTAGTGGTCTATCAGGTGGGGTGAAGGCATCATGGCACCGTTCCCGACGACTATCGGATCCGTCCTGAACCTCCTCGAGGATCTGCTCGAGGGTCTCGCGTTCCTCCACAGTCACAATATCGTGCACAGGGTGAACCTCCAAATCTGCAGCGCTTCGTGTTCGCGCTGATGCCCTGCAGGATCACTCCTACAGGAACACCCTGGTCAACCACGTACCTGTCCTGGCGACTGAAATAGATGACCCTCCGGCGACCCGACAAGCGCTGCGAGACGCAGGCGTTCTGCGGCATGCGATCTTCGACTTTGATGTTGCGCTGATCTTCCCTGATCGAGCCTCCGCCCGGCTGCCCTATGCTGAATTCTGGCTCGGGGCATACAAGTGGACTGACGAAATATATCAAGGAGAATACGACTACGATCCGTTTGCGGCGGACGTGTCCATTCTGGCCGGGGATCTTTGCGTCGATCTGCAGGTGCGCGTGTGAGACTGTTCCGAATCAGTACTGGCTGCTGACCGTCTGGATAGTACCATACACCTTATGTGCCCATCCTGGCACCTCTGTTCGACGGGATGCTTCATTGGCATGTCCCGTCTCGGCTGACAGCGTCCGGGGCACTTGGCCTGCTACGCTCATTGAGAGCCGAGAGCGGGGACCTGGATAAGCAGCCACTTCCTGCGGTCAAGAAGCGGTTCATTCATGTGACGGAATACGACCGGTGGGCGGGATTGCCCGACGACTTTGTCAAGCGGTGGGGGCATCTTCGGACCCCGCCGGTTCCTTGGACGAGATCTTTCCTGCGAAGGATCTGCAAACATGACTCCCTCGCAAGTTGTGTACGTTTTCTCAGACGCATGCTTTCCTTCCTTGTGGGATAGTCGCATACGTTGATTCCCCACCCATGAAAAAGCCCATTGAGGCGCTATTCAATTCTCCCTTGTGATGAATCCAGCAAGTACCTGACGATTACATATCCTGACAATATTATACATGCAGTGTCCCTCATCGAACGAAGACAGCTTTGAGAAAGGAGCCGGCGGATTCGACAATTAACTTGGCCACGATTATACTCGTTCCGTGAAAGCAAAGCAGGACGTCGTGAAACGTCACGTGAAATGATGGCGAGCGGCGGCAGAATGGAGTACTGCGGGTCGATGTGTGACCACTCGGGCATTCTGCGACTTGCTGACACACAGTCTGTAATGAAAAAAAAAATCGCAGGGCATTGACGCTTGCTTGACCTGAAACCTGCCCGGCCATTTGGGCACCCAGTAGAGTCGAGCGTAAGTATACAACACTGATGGTCTCGCACAATTCACCGAATTTCTGATAGTTTATAATACAGGAGTTCTTAGGATGATCGCGGTATAATGTCCAGGTGCGCCCTCGGAATAAAGGAAGCACTGACCTCCTGGCGGGCAGGCACCTGGACGTGCTGCTGGAAGCGATATACATATCGATGGAGATCGGGCAACAGCTAAGGAGGGCAAGGTCAGGATAAAGAAAAGGATATGTTATCACCCCGCACCTGTCGATTGGACGTGCTCAATGCCCCCATGATCTGGATCAGCGCATTTCGTCCTGGTGGTCCGACTACAGGCAGAAGGATATACGTGTTCCGGGCCTTGTCGTAAGACTTCAGCTTGAGTTTGAAGCCGGCAGCCAAGTAGTAAGTCTCTTCCGGCTTCAGAATGCTTGTTAGACAGTCACGAGAAAGGAGAGATGAGATAGCCAGTCACCTGCAGTCTTCTATCCGGTGCCAAAGGCAACATAGTCGCCGGGTCCAAAAGCATGTTTTGGACAATGGTAGATTCGATGTCAGCCTTGCACTGAGGTGACCACTGAGTTGTCACATGTGCTGGCCGGAGGAGCTTCAGACGGTAGCCGTAAGCCGTGGGTAAGCCCTACTCCCAGAGTGAGATCAAGTAAGGAGCAAGGAGCAACGCGTACCGATCCGCGAAGGCTGTCCAGTCGTTTCTCGTATGGGCTGCAGGGGGTGCCAGGCGTGATTTACAACCCGTCCTTGCCGCATGGCACGGGGCTCAGACCTGACTTCACGGTCACGACGACGTCCGCATTCTCGACATCGATCTACACGAACGCATTCAGCGGTTAGCAATGCAGAGGCTAAGGAACAGACGGACATCATCGATGACAGTAGGGAGCTTGACACGAGACATGATAGTTGAGGCGAGGGAAAACGGCGTTCATCGTTCGGTACAAGCCATTCTCATACTGTAGGAGTGTCGATTTGCCCGATCCGCAACAGGGTTGATTGGAGTAGAGATAGGCGCCACTGAGATGAAAAAGAACCCAGTTGACAACAGAAGAAATCAATCCACAGTGTGGAGTGCGCACAGCACTTCGCAAGAATAGGCCACCCCATTCAGAACTGCCTCATTAGGCCCAGCTATCTTCACTTTCGCGAACCAGATCCGCGCCGAAAACAGGGGAGGACAGATCGACACATGACAGGCTACGATTCGGAATTCACATCGTGCACACAGACACTGAGGGTAGACGAGCCCTTGCCGACAGCCTGATCTGTCCTCCCCAAGACTCCCCCAATCAAAGATTAGATACTCTTGCATAGTCAAGCCAGCGGCTGGACACGCGTCGAAGAGGGGTGATTGTTCCAGAATTTTAGTCTGCATAGAACTAGCTTTGATGTTCTCCCGGCGCTCGTTCACAGATGTGACAGCTGAGACTGGTTCTTCCAAACACAGGGTCTTGAAATCACCGCGGGGCCAGAGAAACAGTCAGGGTCCGATTCAGTGGCGTGCCATGATAGATGAGATTATCTTCGCTGGTGCGATGCTATGCTGTCCGAATCGTGCAGAGCTGGCCTCCAAGCAACGATCGCCAGCTGTGGCGTAACATTCTGAGAGAGCGAGAGTCCACTTCAAACCGAGTGGTAGTTATCTCCGGTGGCAATCGACTGGGAATCTAGGCTTCGACCGGACCGGGCGTGAGAGAGACGACGACAAGGGAACAAAAGCGGTAGTTATGACTCGAAACGGGTGTGAATTATGCGTGAGAACCCACGTGTTAGACGCGCGCATCTTTGATGGATTGTGACAGCTCTTGACAGCACGTTGACATGTATGTGGACCCACAAACGAGATTTCCCCGCTGAAATGCGCTCCTCTTCAAAATCTCAGCCTCAAATATTGCAGTTTGTTGCTGGAGATCGAACGGCTGCTTCTCCAAGTTGGTTTCAGGTCGGTCCTGGAAATCATCGCTGCAAATCCGGGCTCAGTGGGGCTGCTGACAGTCATCGATATCTTGAATCATATTCTCAGCATGGAAGCTAGGGCATTGGGCAAGCACGAGCCAAAACCTTCCGGGCCCTAGATTTAGACAGAACAAACCACACGAGTGGATGCTAGGGTGCACATGCGTAGCAGATTTCGCACCCCACCGGCGGCGGCGGATTCTTCCAATCCTAGACAATCGCAAGGGACAGCACACACGGCTTGGTGATGGATTCGGCGCTAATTGAAGCCGTGCGAGTCAGAGATTTATCGGAGACTCGCAATTGGTGGGACCGTGGCGGCCTGTGGAGATTCTGTGGTCTGACTCATTTTGCCCCACGGGTCTCATCCGGCATTTCCCCAGCTTTTTAGTGGAGCATGTGACTCAGGACTCTCATCAGTGGTGCAGAGGCTGGACTGAACAATGGCGCTTCTGAGTGGCCCGGTCTGATCCCCATTGAAGTCGCACGGTAGAGCGAGAGCTCAGAAAGCAAGAGTGTCAATAGACCAGGAGATAGTAGATACATGTTGGGCAAGTCAAATCTCTTGCGAAGGTGTGTATCGACCAGTATACGACAGCTGCCGAGGCTTTCCGTGTGCACTACCGCCCTTGAGGTTTGGAACCCGTTCAGCAGACTCCAACTGAGCGAGATCTTTAACTAAGAGAATATGCCGACCTACGCGCTCTCCCAACGCCCAACTGCCGATCGAGAACCTGAGAGCAGTCAACGCCGCTTGTGGTTGGGCTCAGGCCTGCTCTGCATTTCCATGGGCAGAGATGGCGGCTTTGGCGGAGCGAAACTAAGCGATAAAACGTTAGGATCAAGCCGAGACGACTGCTGTCCAGAGTCACCCACCGTAGAAGTAAAGCATTGAATACGTTTCCGACGTAGTCCATTCTGTAAGAATGAAGCAACACGCCGCGCGAAACGCACACACTGCGCCAGAAGAAACTCAAACATCTTGCGAACATGACATTTCTCAGTGTGCGAGGAAACAATATCATACAGGCAAATTACGCTGTGATGAACGAGATGACACGTCTGAGTAAACGCACGCAACTTTCAAGGAACTCATATTCGCAGATCCTGCGCAGGAACAACCTCGTCCAAGGAACCGGCGGGGTTCGAAGATGACCCCACCGCTTGACAAAGTCGTCGGGCAATCCCGCCCATCGGTCATATTTCGACACAGGGACGGACTGCCTCTTGATCGCAGAGAGTGGCTGCTTGTCCAGATTCGGGTATTCAGCTCTGAGTGAGCGGAGCAGATCCAAGGCTTGGGAAGCCGTCAGCCGTGACGGCACGTGCCAGTGCAGCATCCCATCGAACAGGGGTGCCAGGATGGGCACATAGGGTGTGTGATACTGCGGAGATTAGTCAGCGGACAACATCCAGGCCATTCGCGCACGCACACACCTGAAGATCAGAACAAAGATCCCCACCCAAAATGGACACGTCCGCCGCAAACGGATCGTAGTCATACTCGCCTTGAAATATCTCATCGGTGGGCTTGTATGCTCCCAGCCAGAAGAGCGTGTATGGAAGGCGAGCGGATTTGCGGTCGGGGTATATCAGAGCAACGTCGAAATCGAATATGGCGTGCTGGAGAACGCCTGAGTTGCGGAACGGTTCTCGAGTCAGTGGGGGATCGTAGATTTCTTCGTGCCCGTGCACTGGAATGTGATTCACGAGGATGTTCTTGTAGGCGTGGTCCTGCGCAACATGAGCAAACCCTTCGTGCAGTGGAAATGGGGAACATCACTCGATGGACGATATTGTGGCTGTGAAGAAACGCCAGCCCTGCGAGCAGATCTTCAACGAGAGACAACGTGGGCCCAACGAGTGTGGGGAACGGAGACATGATGCGTTCTCCCCATCTAGGAGCGAGGATTCAGACACATGACATACTCGCTATGCGCTTTTCACACCTGGGCATGACAACGAGCCAGTGTCCGCGAAACGGAACGATCTCGAGCACAGGAATGAGACCCCGGACGGGTTCGCGTTTCGACGTTTCATATATGAGCTTGAGCGTGTGTATCTCGACGCTCTCACTGCGGACCAGTTTGATAGCAACATGCCGATCCGGCCTGTCGATGCTTTGAGCGTAGGCGGCTCTTCCCTGTTACCCCTCGAGTCAGCAACGACGGACGAGATACATGTACATAGCGACGCACACGATTCTCCCGAGCGTATGGCTTGTCCACGCAGTCAAAATAACTCTTCTCGAGCCCCTCCCCGACATCGTAAGAGACATGTCCCGGTTCGACGGGATCCATAAACGCGTAGCGATCGTCGTCCGGTGCGGATCGGTGGGGCGTGTCCAGTGCTGGATACATAAGACTGCAGTCAGCGGCATCGAGTACTGAGCAGATGTTGTACAGCGCGTATCCACGCTCGCGGAGGAAGGCGCGAATCGGACCGTCCCAGAACGCGAGTCGATCTTCGAGTCGAAATTCAGGTACTAGACGGTCCTCGTACTCGTCGAGAGAGAATGGAATGATGAGATTTTCATCAGATGGTGTAGCATCCATTCTTAGAGTAGTCGTTTGGGGTGGGACCATTGACGACTGGACGAGGACGAGCTAATGTGACGCAGCCGGGGGCACCGTCAACAGGAAAGAATGGCACGTGGTCGCGAATAAGTCACGAGATGTCACCTCGTTGATGGCTGAGACACTGAGCACGTGTTCGTACCACGATCACGCGACCCTCCGAACTTGTCCTCGAATTCATCGCCCACACACACTCACACTCAACTTCTACGCGACATGGCCAACGAGACACACTCTGAGAAAGGCCCCGATATACCCTTTTCGTTGGACGAGTACGAGGACCGTCTCGTACCCGAATTCCGAATGAAAGACCGCCTCGCGTTTTGGGATGGCCCGATCCGCGCCTTCTTGCGCGAACACGGATACGTGCTGTACAGCATGCGCTCATTTCCAGAATACGATGTGGACAGCCTCATGTACCCGGCTCTGGAAACGCCTGAGGGGCCGGACGATGACGGAGCCACCTACGCGCTGATGGACCTGGACTCTCCTGAGCGGGAGATGCCCGATCCTGGAGATGAGTCGTATCTCTCCTTGCGTCGCAGGTCATATGCGCGCGAAGCTCGGGTGCGTCGTGTTTCAACCAGTGTATTGCTCGTCTCTGACATGAAGGGTTAGGGTCGAGCCGCCTTTGCACAAAGTGAGGCTCGTCCGGACCGACATTTCGCTATCAAGCTGGTCCGAGCCGAAAGCGTCGAAATCCACACCATCAAGCTGATATACGAAGCTTCAAAGGAGAAGCCCGTCCGGGGCCTCATCCCTGTGATCGAAATCATCCCATTTCGCGGTCACTGGCTTGTGGTTATGCCGAGGTGGGGAGAAAACATCATGCTCCCATTCCCGACTCTCGTTGGGCAGGTCCTGGACTCCATCGAAGATCTGTTAGAGGGTCTCGGATTCCTCCACAGTCATAACATCGTGCATAGGGTAGGCAACCCGTGCTATTTGGAGCACCCCATGGATATACATATGCTCATGCGTTTCAGGATCATTCTGCCAAAAATCTCGTAGTGAATCATGTCCCCGTCCTCACGTATGAGGATCTGAGAGAGGTGCCGCCCACCCGACAGGCGGCGAGAGATGCGGGCGTTCTCCGGCACGCCATATAGAGTACGACTTCGACATGGCGTTGGTGCTCGATGGTGTTCCCTCGGCTCGGCTGCCGTGGAGGGAGTTCTACCGCGGCCCGGGCAAACGCACGCATGATGTCAGGCAAGGGGAATACGACTTCGATCCCTTTGCCGCGGACATGTGTATTCTGGGTACGACTCTCAGTGATTTCTTGCGAGCGAGTATTCTATCCTCTCACTGTATCCCCACTCACCGTTTCCTCAGTCTTACGTTCCTTTCGTGCCGATCTTGGCACCGCTGCTCGACGGCTTGCTTCACTGGCATGTGCCCTCGAGGCTGACGGCCCCTCAGGCGCTGACTCTACTCCGCTTACTGCGAGCAGCATATACCGCTCTGGAACGTCAGTCATTGCCTGCCGAAGACTGCGTGCCCGAACCGGCGAGGGATCTATGGCAAGGCTTGCAGTCCGAATTCGTTGCGAGATGGGGATATCTTCGCGCACCTCCTGAGCCATGGACCAGGACGACCCTTCGCAGGCTGTGTCGCAACCAGTTTCTGGCGCGGTGCGTGCGTTCCGGGCGACGGATTACCTCAATCATGACATTGTGACTGTGATCTCAGACCACTCCATGCGGCAGATAGGTCGGACCACAGTCAAAACCGTATTCATTTGTGCAAAGAGTACTTTTAGTATTCCTGCTATCAATTGACGCCTTTCAACCAGTGTCTCTCCAGCCCTGGAGGTGAAAATCGAGCTGTCAGAAATATGTATTCGAGATCCACTGCGCGATATTGTCTGCGACTCTGAAATCATGATCCTTTCATGCTGTTCTCGAGAATCACCGAACTAACTCCGTCGAAACTTGGTTTGCAAGCTGCTTCAAGGTCTAACTATGTTTCCGTGTCCTCATAAACCTTGATTTCTTCTGCTAGCTCTCTCAGGAGCTGCACTGTCCCACATGGCCGCGTGACCCCCCACAGTATTTCAAGAGCAAAATTCATTCACAGATTCATTCGACCAACATCGGGGACCATGCAAGCACTCCGATCACGTACAATTGGGGGACATTGTCGTCAAGGCTTACGAGGGGGAAAAGAAGAACACTTGCGTGGCATCACCCTGTCTCTGGGATTGGATCTCGATCTGTCGCCCAACGTCAGCAGTTGCGAATGAAAAAATTGCACACGAAGCCGATGGATTGACACGAACCGAGGCATGAATGTATCCGCTGCTCGAGTCGAGGCCCCAAACTCCTTCGACGCCGATCAAGGAGACGGAGACACGGCCCTTGATCAGGGCGACAAACCGGAATCGGGCGGGAGCAAGACCGGGGATGGGCGCAAGGTTCTGCATGCGGATGCGTCAGCGAGCGCTTACATAGCCGGAGACGCTCCCGAAGCGGAAACGCACTAACCTTGGAGTCAGTCAACACCAATGGGAGGCCCTGGCCAACGTTGGTGATAGTGTAGCCCGCGTTGTTGTCGCCGATAACGTCCCACTGCACACGGCGTGTGAGCGAAGCGGGGAGAGAAAGAACACTTGAAGGATAAAAGTACAAACCAAGGCGAAATCCCCGGGGTAATCACGCCCGGATGAGGTGTACGCGCCCTGCCCGATCTCGTAGCTGCGCACGAGGCCACCGACCACACCATCGATGATCCTGTATCTTCCGGGGGAGATAGGGTCGAAGTTACCGAAGACAGAAGCGGCAGGCGAACGCAGACCAGTGCTGGCAGGCAAATGCTCCAGGCCAAGAACAAACTCGTCCAACCGTTTGAACCGGAAGTGCTGGGAGGGCAGACCCCTGAACGGGGCCAGAGTGACCTAGATAGATTGCGGGAATTAGAGGCACGATTCCACAGTGTGTGCGGGACAACACACGCGAGATACGAGAGCCGAGTCGGAGGGGTTCAGCGTCCAAACATAGCCACGATGTTCGGTGGAATAAACCTGGCAATCAGGGAGACTCAAAGAGCGCACTAGAAGAGACTAGGTCGGCAGCTTACGACATACTGCCCCTCAGTGTCAGTCTCTTGAAGGTCAAACTCGTCAGGAGTAGCCCTGCCAGTGGATGCGGTAGAGATGAACTGATGGAATAGCAATGGATCAGTCAAGAGTCAGGACAGCATTACATAACGTGACTGCCGCCTACCTGGTCCTTGTCAACCACTACGGCTGTGTTGTGTCCGCGGTGCATGAGGCGGATCGTGTTGTCCCTGGTGACGGACAATTCGTACTGATCAAAATAATTCGTCGATAGCCCGCCGGAGGAGTTAAACAGCCGCGCACCTGGCCAAAAGGTCCCGGGTACAGCAGGGCGCGGCTCACGACGAGCGGGTTACCGATCTGGAAGCCGTGCAAGAGAGCACCCCCAAATTTCGGCGTGGTGATTTCGTACATCCCTGGTTCGGGGACGTTGCTGAAACCCTGCTCGTGGGAATTGCGAATCAGAAGAGCAGGACAGAAGCCGCAAAACATGTGGGAGCTTGCCTCGGAGGCCGGGCGCACGTCCTGGGCGCACGAGCCGCCCGAGAAGAGTTGCTGGCGAGAAGGCGCAGCGCTGGCAAAAGACAGCGCGCCGAGCGTCAAGGCGACGAGCTGGGTGAACATTGAGGACGGTTGTTGTATCGACTTGAGTGCTAGCGAGTGAGTGGGGGGCAGTCCCAGCGGCCAGCCAGCCTTTTATACGGTTCCTTCAAGATGTTCACACTTGTGATTTACCCCACACAGAAGCCGAATACCAGCGGCGTACGAGCTCGAGTGAATTTGTGTGAACTACTCGCTCGTAGATCGGTCGGGTCGAACGTGGGTGGTACTTCAGTGCCACTTGACAGACCAGAAGAGCGACTAGAGAGCCCAGAAATCGGCCATAACGGCCCCGTGAGCAACACTAAATTCTAGTGCGACGCTACCGTCATGGTTTCTATCCTTGGTCAGGAAAGCATGCCAAGTTCAGCGAGCAGGGTGAACAAATCGATGCGTCTCATCACGCAACCTAGTGTCCATCAGAATACTCTGTGACGCGGTTTCTCGGTACCTCGAAACAATTGCGACAGTTACCCCAGAAATGGTCCCAGACGACGGTCATTACACGGTCAGAAGTCGCCACTGTGCTGCGATCCACACGGCGAATGGGCCCATGGTCCCTGGTGTAGCTCACTGATCATTAAGCGCCGCTCCTGACGTCTTCCAGCTGTTCGCGAGCAGATATTTCCTGCAACTTTGGAAGGGATCGGTTCAAGGGATGTTCTGGATGGGAAGAAAGGGAGGGGGGGGGGGGAAAGATAGGATTTCGAGCTGGAACAAGTGGTGAGTTGGTTCCAGAGTGAACGGCCTGCAGGAATTTGGGCGGACTAATATACCTCGGGATTTCATGGACTATTCGACCAACGCAATCAATAATGGGAGCCGAGGAACGAATAGATACCTACCCCGACTTTCATGCTCCAGTCGGCTGGCGTCCAGTACTTGGCCGATCGTGTACAAGTGGATCGCGGCCTGTCCGTAATTAGGGGCGGATATCTGATACGTGCCCGCCTGCAGGGCAGCTGGTCCAACGAGCCTGCAATCTGCGCAGCCAACCCACCTTTTATTTAATATTCTGTTTCCGGGCACGCCACCCAAAGCCATATGCACCCGGATTGGGTGTGTGACGACGGAGGCCGTGGGTCAGCATGGGGGATAATCGACTTTGAGGGCGCGAATTACTCGCTCATAGATCGGTTCAAGTTGGGGGACAGTAGAGTATTTGACACCTTTGCCGTGAGCGTGAGGAACGAAGCTCGGCGCCACTCGTCAGACAATAGAGGCGGCCCCAAGCGCAGGTATTCATGGCCTCAGTTAGGATGTGAAAAGATGAACCGGCCAGGCTTCTCTATATATGTCCAATGTGTAGTGCAGAGCGGTCGTTGGGGGCGGAAGTTAGGACCTGAAACTTGATGCCGGAAGCTGTGGTGATCAATCAATCAAACCCTAACCCTAACACAAGGGATCAAATAGCATCTCTCGATGGGTCCTCAGTTCCACGTGTTTGGGCCACGATCACGCGACCCGCAGAACTTGCCCTCAAATTCAACGCCCACGCACACTCACACTCAACTTCTACGCGACATGGCCAACGAGATACTCTCTGGAAAGGATCTCGGAATCCCCTTCTCGTTGGACGAGTACGAAGATCGTCTGGTACCGGAATTCCGAATGAAAGACCGCCTCGCGTTTTGGGATGGCCCGATCCGCGCCTTCCTGCGCGAACACGGATACGTGCTGTACAACATGTGCGCCTTTCCGGAATACGATGTGGATAGCCTCATGTACCCCGCCCTGGAGACACCAGACCAAGCGCCGGACGACGACCGCTACGCGTTCATGGATGCTGACTACCCCGAGCGCGCGATATCCGAGCACGGAGGCGATGAGCTGTATGCCTCTCTGCGCTCTACGGCATATGCGCGTCGATGCAAGGCACGTACCGGCTCGAGCAGCATCTTGTAGTATGTCTGACGCGAAGTGCCAGGGCCGCGCCGCGTTTGCGCAGGATGCAGCGCGGCCGGGTCGCCACGTCGCTATCAAGCTGGTCCGAGCCGGAAGCGTCGAAATCCACACGCTCAAGCTGATATACGAAGCTTCGAAGGAGAAGCCCGTCCGCGGTCTCATTCCCGTGCTCGAAATCATTCCATTCCGCGGCCACTGGCTTGTGGTGATGCCGAGGTGGGGCGAAGATATCATGCTACCGTTTCCCACCGTCGCAGGGCCCGTCTACGATCTCATCGAAGACCTGCTCGAGGGCCTCGCATTCCTCCACAGCCACAACATCGTGCACAGGGTCAATAGTGCTGCCAGGAGCGCTTCGTTGGTGGCACTGATACGTTGTACCAGGATCACTCGTCCAAAAATCTCGTCGTGAACCACGTCCCCATCCTCACCTATGACGATATCAGAAACGTGCCTCCCACTCGACACGCGCTGGGACACGCCGGCGCCCTCCGACACGCGATCTTCGACTTTGACGTCGCGCTGGTGTTCCCCGATCGCGCGTCGGCTCGGCTGCCGTGGATGGAATTCTGGCGCGGCGCGGCCAAGGGCACGCATGATGTCAGGCAAGGGGAGTACGACTTTGATCCCTTTGCCGCGGACATGTGTATCTTGGGTCTGTATCTGGACGATTCGTTGCGAGTGAGTAGTCGCCTTCTCTCTTGAGCCTTGCGATGATGATGATGACCTCCCCAGTCGCATATCCCTTACATGCCGATCTTGGCACCGTTGATCGACGGGCTGCTCCACTGGCATGTGCCCTCGCGGCTGACAGCCGCTCAGGCATTGGCCTTACTGCGATCCCTGAGAGCAGAGAATAGCTCTCTCGAACGTCAACGACTGCCCGCCGAGCGGTCTGTGCCCGATCCAACAAACGACCTCTGGCGGGGTTTGTCCTCCGACTTCCTTACGAAGTGGGGCCACCTTCGCACTCCCCCGGAGCCACGGACGAGAAGGATCTTTCGGAGATTGTGCCACAATCGGTTCATGGCATGGTCTGTGCGCTCTATGCGCCGCGTAGCCTCATTCAAGTCACTGGGATCAGGATCTGGCTAAACTTCACCCGGGCATACCATTCCATTGTAGCACGGTTCACAGCCAGCCACATGTACTGATGTTACATAGTTTGGATCGCAACGACTGTCCTCTGACGGGCACCAGCTGGTCTCCCCACAACCACATCCGGCTTTTGAGGATCCGGGCGGTGTAGCCACGAGCATCTGGTCCAGGGCTGATGTAGTCATCGGTCACACGTAGTTCTGGACAGCAGTCACTTGAGCGTCATCGATCTTTCTCTCGATCACAGTCAACGGGTTCGGCGAGTCGTCATCGCCGAGGACGGGGCGAATGGAGTGGGCCTTGACCGCGATCTGAGAAGACGCGGTGAGCGGGCTGTGATCGTGAAAGCGATGCCTCACTAACCGTGTCGGCCGCCTCGGCGGGGGGCGCTAGGCAAGATTTCGACGGGGAATGTTGAGTTTGGTGTGCTGTACGGGGCTGGACAAGTCGGGGAACACCAGCCGTTCGCAGACGGTTGTTTCAGTAACTCGCCTGGCCCGCAACGGAAAGCGACCAAGGCGGAGACGCACGTCACCGGGATGAACAATAACTTGTCAACGAGGCCAACGAACCTAGGGCGTGGGGCGCACACAGCACCTTGTAAGATAAGGCCGTCCGGTTCAGACTGCCCCATTAAGCCCAGCTATCTTTGCTTTTGCGTGAGAACCAGATCTGAGCCGGAAACGGGGGAGCACAGATCGATCACCGCGGTATCGGAGAAGCAGACAAGGTCCCATTCAATGCGCGTAATGATATATGATAAGGTTTTGACTTGTGTGAGATGCACCGGTGCGAGGGGTTGTGTTGTGTGCAGGGTCGGATGGACAGCTGCGGCATAACGCTCTGGGAGGGCATTACTTAGTCTGCTTCAAACGGAGCCATATTCATTGCCAGTGGCAGCTGCCTGAGAATCCAAGCTCCGACTGGGCCATGCGTGAGAGAGACGAGGACAAGGGAACAAAAGCGGTAGTCATGACTCGAAACGGGTGTGAATATTATGCGTGAGAATGCACGTGTTGGACGCGCGCATCTTTGATCATCGATGTATTGTGACAGCTCTTGCCAGCACGTTGACAGCGAAGCGACTGACTATGACGTTGATTGTGGACCCACAAACGAGATTTCCCCGCTGGTACGCGCTCCTCTTCAAGATCTTAGCCTCGAAGAGGGCCGTTTGTTGCTGGAGATCAAAAGAATGTTCTCCAGGCCTATTCATCCAGATTGTCACTTCGAGATGTGAGGTCAGCGGGGCTGCTGACAGTCATCGATATATTCTTAGCAGGGAAGCTGAGAGAAGCACGCGCCAAAACATTCCGGACCCCAGATCTAGATAGAAGAAACGGCGCGGGTGGATGTCAGGGTACACACGCGGAGCAGATTTCGCACGCGATCGGTCGCTGCTGATTCTTCCGATCCTAGACGATCGCAAGGAACAAGGAACAACACACGACTTTGTGATGGATTTGGCGCTGATAGAAGCCCCACGAGTCACAGATCCATCGAAGAACTAAAATTGGCGGGCCTGTGTCGACTTTCGGACAGTGACTCGTTCAGCGCCTGGGCTTCGTCCGGTATTTCCCTCGCTTCTGAGTTGAGCATATGGTTCAGGACGCCCATCAGCCCCCCTTGAGAAGATCAATTCTGAGCGTTCCTCCCCGACTTCCCATGAGAACAAGGGCTTCCGCCAGCAAGAGGGTCGCTAGATTGACTCTACGGGTGTGGCACGTAAGATCATTTGTGCGTCTTTCACAGTGCCACGGCCGTTCCCATGTTGCCCGTCCAACTCTGTGAGGATTCGCTCAGTCTTGAAGAACTTGTGGCAGGGCTGGCTGGAATACCGTTCAGCGGCGTGCAAAACATTGGTAGACTCCTGATGCGCCAGCACCGCATGCGAATGCCATCAACATCAGTCTACATATCCGACAAGACGTATTCGTTGTAAGGACGGCATGAATTGAAGAATATAATAGCTGCCCCGCGAAATAAAAGTTGATCAAAGAGGTTTCTGACGGGGCCGCTTCTGTAGGAGTGAAGCGGAACGTCGCACGAAACGGATACAGCCCTCCAGAAATCCATACTCACACAGCCTCCGAAGGGTCGTTCTGGTCCATGGCTCCGGCGGAGTGCGAAGATGGCCCCATCTCGAAACAAAGTCGGAGGGCAAACCTTCCCAGCGATCGGCTTTCCTACTGCCCATGGAGTCTTTGGCAGGCAATTGTTGGCGTTCCAGAGAGCGATTTTCTGCTCTCAGTGAGCGTAACAAGGACAGTGCCTGGGAAGCAGTCAGCCTCGAGGGCACATGCCAGTGACGCATGCCGTCGATCAACGGCGCCAAGATTGGCAGATGGGGAATATAAGACTGAAGATATGATCATTGAGGGTAAAACCGAGGAGAAGATACTCACCCGCAAGGAATCATCAAGCACTCGACCCAAGATGACCATGTCTGCGGCGAAAGGGTCGAAGTCGTACTCCCCTTGCCGGACATCATGCGTGCCTTTGATTGGGCCGCGATAGAACTCCATCCACGGCAGCCGAGCCGAGGAGCGGTCGGGAAACGCCAGCGCGACGTCGAAGTCGAAGATCGCGTGACAGAGAACGCCGGCGTTTCGCGCCGCCTGCCGAGTGGGCGGCAGGTCTCTCAGATCCTCGTATGTGAGAACGGGGATGTGGTTCACCGCGATGTTCCTGGCGCAGTGGTCCTGTGACGCATAAGCATTCAGATAAAGCGATCCTGGCAGCACCGTCGACCTACCCTGTGCACGATGTTATGGCTGTGGAGGAACGCGAGACCCTCGAGCAGATCTTCGATGAGGTCGTATACGGGCCGAGCGACGGTCGGGAACGGCAGAAAGACCTCTTCTCCCCACCTCGGCATGACGACCAGCCAGTGACCACGGAATGGGATGATTTCGATGACAGGGATGAGGCCCCGGAGGGGCTTCTCTTTTGAAGCTTCGTATATCAGCTTGATAGTGTGGATTTCGACGCTTTCGGCCCGAACTAGCTTGATAGCGAAATGTCGATCTGGCCGAGCCTCACTCTGTGCAAAGGCAGCTCGGCCCTACGCTTCATGTCAGAGACAAACAGTACAGTGTTTAAAACGAGACGCACCCGAACTTCGCGTGCATACGCCCTGTGACGCAAGGAAAGATACGACTCGTCTTCAGGATCGGGCATCTCCCGCTCAGGAGAGTCGAGATCCATCAGCGCGTAGGTGGCTTCGTCATCGTCCGGCCCGTCAGGCGTCTCCAGAGCCGGGTACATGAGGCTGTCCACGTCGTATTCCGGAAAGGAGCGCATATGGTATAGAACGTATCCATGTTCGCGCAAGAAGGCGCGGATCGGGCCATCCCAAAACGCGAGGCGGTCTTTCATTCGGAATTCGGGTACGAGACGATCTTCATACTCGTCCAACGAAAAGGGGATAGCTGGGTCTTTCTCAGAGTGTGTCCCGTCGGCCATCCCGCGTAGAGGTCGAGTGGGACTCTGTGTGGACGTTGGTGGGTAAGTTGAGTGTGGGTCTCGTGATCAAGAATTTTTGAGCACGTGTCCGTGTTAAGTAGTGTGATCAAACCCATTTACTATCATTGTATATTGTATCAAGCTCTAAACACTGCGGGGGGACTTATTTTTTTTTCCGTGGAAAATGCATGACAATCTAGAAGTCCGATTTTCACTGTTCTGTTTTCAGACAAAATATATATATTGCAAATAGACATCGATTTACAGCTCGATTTTTACCACAAATAGACATCTATTCCTCCCGAAAACAGAACTGTAAATAGATCATCTTATTTTTTAATCGATTCTCACTGGGAATAGACGTCGATTTTCACTGAAAATAGAAACAAAGAAAAGATGATATTTTTTCACTGAAAACAGATTAAAACCACTAGAAGAATCTGTTGATTCCGGCCCCAATTTGCATCCCTGGCCTTGCAAAAGGCTACTGAATGCTTCTCACAACATGTTGGAATCATGCTGCAGGACTTGTGATGTGAGTTGGGGCTGGAATCAGCAGATTCTTCTAGTGGTTTTGATATGTTTTCAGTGAAAAAAGATCATCTTTTCTTTGTTTCTATTTTCAGTGAAAATCGATGTCTATTCCCAGTGAGAATCGATTAAAAAAAAAGATGATCTATTTACAGTTCTGTTTTCGGGAGGAATAGATGTCTATTTGTGGTAAAAATCGAGCTGTAAATCGATGTCTATTTGCAATATATATGGCCATTTGATTTTTTTTTTCGCAAATCCACACATCACGACCTGCTGGATCCGAGTGAAGCCACGTGCAAAGATCGAGGCTGCTTGCACGCTCCTTGGAACGTCCCAATTCTGCGGTGCTCCTCAAGATTTTAGCCGAGCCGTCACCCCAGACAAAGAGGTACACTATCCGGTAATCATCGAAACTGCACGTCTGAGTAAACGCACGCAACTTGCGAGTAAGTCATATCTGCAGATCCTCCGCAGAAACGACTTCGTCCAAGGAACCGGTGGGGTCCGAAGATGCCCCCACCGCCTGACAAAGTCGGGAGGCAATCCTGCCCATCGGTCGTATTCCGACACATGAATGAAATGCTTCTTGACAGCAGAGAGAGGTTGGTCATCCAGATCGCTATATTCGGCTCGCAACAAGCGGAATAGTTCTAGTGCCTGGGAAGCCGTCAGGCGAGATGGAACATGCCAGTGCAGCATCCGGTCGAATAGGGGCGCCAGGATAGGCATATAGGGTGTGTGATACTGCAGAGGCAGTCAGTGGCTGACAGTGAAAGAAACGCTCTACACGCACCTGTAGATCACGACAAAGATGACTTCCCAGAATGGACACATCCGCCGCGAACGGATCGTAGTCGTATTCGCCTTGGAATATCTCATCGGTGAACTTAGGTGCTCCCAGCCAGAATTGGGTGTATGGTAGGCGAGCGGAGTGGCGGTCGGGGAATATCAGAGCGACGTCAAAGTCGAATATTGCGTGCTGGAGAACGCCCGAGTTCCGAAATGGTTCTCGAGTCAGTGGGGCTTGTCAATGGCTGCGTGTCGGAGGGCAGGAACATGGTTTACGAGGATGTTCTTGTAAGAGTGGTCCTGCGTGACATCAGGACATCGTTCGTGTACTACAAGATGAGAAAAATCACCCGATGGACAATATTGTGGCTGTGAAGAAACGCCAGACCTGCGAGCAGATCTTCAATGAGAGACAAGGTCGGTCCAACAAGTGTGGGGAACGGAGACATAATGTCTTCTCCCCATCTAGCGGTGAGGATTCAGACGAGCGATGAAACAAAGACAAGGCGTGTACCATACCTAGGCATGACAACGAGCCAGTGTCCGCGAAACGGGATGATCTCGAGCACAGGAATGAGACCCCGGACGGTTTCGCGTTTCGACGTTTCGTATATGAGCTTGAGGGTGTATATCTCGACGCTCTCGCTGCGGAAGAGTTTGATAACAACATGTCGATCAGGCCTGTCCATACTTTGAGCGTACGCGGCTCTTCCCTGTTGTCCCTAGAGTCGGCGACGACGAATGAGGTACTTTTGCGCAGCGACGCACGTGATTCTCCCGAGCGTTGCCTTCCGTGCACAGTACTGAAGTGTGTTCTCGCGGCCACTCTCCGCAATGGGCATCACGCGGCCCGGCTCGTCGGGGTCCATGAATGAGAAGCGATCATCGTCCGGGAAGGATCGGTGGGGCGTGTCCAATGCCGGGTACATCATACTGAATTCGTCGTCTTCGTCTCTGGGACAGATATTGTACAGCGCATATCGTCTGTCACGGAGGAAAGCGCGAATCGGGCCATCCCAGAACGCGAGTCGATCGTCGAGCCGAAACTCTGGTACTAGACGATCCTCGTATTCGTCGAGGGAGAAAGGAATCCCGAGGTCTTTTTCTGACGAGCCCAGGTTCATGTCGCGGACGAGTTGCGTCTTAGGGCACTGCTTGCGACCCGGGGACAAGAAGGAGCTGAAGTGCCAAGGTCATTTTGACACGGTCACGGCAGACACCTTCATCCATCACGTGGTCGTCATTTGAGAAATCACGAGGTGTCACAACAACCTAAGTAACACTGAACGTTCAATGGACACACCCTGACCTTACATGACCGACAATGCTGTTCCTAAAAAACACCTGGAGATCCCTTTCTCCCTGGATGAATACGAAGATCGCAACGTCCCGGAGTTCCGACTCGAAGACCGCCTGGCATTCTGGGATGGCTCAATACGCGCCTTTCTGCACAGACGTGGATATGCACTGTACAGCATTTGCCCGGTCTTCGACGGCGCGAGCAGTCTGATGTATCCCACTCTCGAGACATGCCCGCAGCCCGTCGATGATGAGCGGTACGCGTTCATGGATCCCGACAACCGTGAACGGGTTCTTCCCAAAGCCAAACCTGGCCTTGAGAACACTTATCCGTATTGTAGAGAGAAGGCATATGCGCGTGAAAACCGGGTGTGTCTTTGTGTGCATCAACTCCATTCGGTGTTTCTGACCTCAAACAATAGGGCAGAGCTGCGTTCGCCCAGTGCATTGCCAGGCCCGATCGACATGCGGCTATCAAGCTCGTTCGAGACCGGAGCGTCGAGACACACACCCTAATGCAAGGAGAATACGATTGTGATCCATTTGCGGCCGACGTCTCCATCCTGGGCGGTAATCTGTGTCGTGATCTCCAAGTATGCCTTGGGCTCATTCAGAGACCATGGACTGAAACTTGTTTATAGAAATCACACACCATTTGTGCCTATCCTAGCCCCGTTGTTTGATGGCATGCTTCACTGGGATGTGCCTTCGAGGCTCACAGCACCGCAGGCACTCAGCCTCCTCCGCACCGTAGGAGTGCAGTACAGTGAACTCGATAAGCAGCCACTACCTGCCATCCCCAACAAGTTTATCGACGTCATGAAATACAACAGGTGGAACGGGCTGCCTCCCGACTTCGTCGAGCGGTAGGGTCATCTTCGGACTCCGCCAGTTCCATGGACGAGACGGTTTCTGCGGCGGATCTGTAGATACGACTTCCTCGCAAGCTGTGTGCGTTTATTGCGCCGCGCGATTTCATTGATCTCCAGATGGTGTATCTCTGTCTGCTGGTTCAGAACTGCGGGTATGCGGTTTGGCCAGAATACCAAGCCTGGCAGTGGGAGCTGCGCGAACATCATGGTATTGGAACCATCAGATCGTGTGTGGTAGAACCACTAAGACAAGTTTGCATAGCCTACTAGCAGTTTGATTCGATCTCCGGAAGTGCGGATCTGGTTGAAAGTTACTTGCACGGACACGTGCGGTCGAGAACTCGATCACGGGACCGAGTCTGAACTTACCCACGAACACTCACACCCAGTGCCACTCGACCTCCACACGATATGGCTAGTGAGGCACTTCCGGAGAAAGACCTCGACATCCCCTTTTCATTGGACGAGTATGAAGACCGCGAGATACCCGAATTTCGAATAAAAGACCGAATCGCGTTTTGGGATGGTCCTATCCGCGTCTTCTTGCGCAAGCACGGATACGTGCTGTACAATATGCGCGCCTTTCCGGAATACGATTTGGATAGCGTCATCTATCCAGCTCTGGAGACACCAGATCAACTGCCGGACGACGACCGCTACGCGTTCGTGGATGCTGACTACCCCGAACGAGAGATATCCGAGCATGGAGAGGATGACTTGTATGCTTCTCTGTGCTCTGCACCGTATACGCGTGAATTTCGGGTACGTCGTGTCACAGAATAACATGTTATTCCCTCTGACCATGATCTGCCAGGGTCGAGCTGCCTTTGCACAGAGTGAGGCGCGGCCAGATCGACATTTCGCTATCAAGCTAGTTCGGGCCGAAAGCGTCGAAATCCACACTATCAAGCTCATATACGAAGCTTCAAAAGAGAAGCTCGTCCGGGGCCTCATCCCTGTCATCGAAATCATCCCATTCCGGGGTCACTGGCTGGTCGTCATGCCGAGGTGGGGAGAAGAGGTCTTTCTGCCGTTCCCGACCGTCGCTGGGCCCGTATACGACCTCATCGAAGACCTGCTCGAGGGTCTCTCATTCCTCCATAGCCATAACATCGTGCATAGAGTAGGTCGACGGTGCTGCTGGGCTGGCTTCATGTGAATGCTTATGCGTTGCAGGATCACTCCTCCAGAAACATCGTCGTGAATCATATCCCCATCCTCACATATGATGATGTCAGAGAGTTTCCGGAAACTCGACAGACGCTGCGAAACGCCGGCGCTCTCCGACACGCTATCTTTGACTTCGACGTTGCGCTGGTGTTTCCCGACCGCTCCTCGGCTCGGCTGCCTTGGATGGAGTTCTATCTCGGCGCGCGAAAGAGGACGCATGATGTCAGGCAAGGGGAATACGATTTCGATCCTTTCGCTGCAGACATGGCCATCTTGGGTAGCGTGCTCGATGACTCCTTGCGGGCGAGTATTCTCACCCTCTGCTCTACCCCCGATGAACGTATCTCCAGTCTTATATCCCCGACATGCCGATCTTGGCACCGCTTCTCGACGGCATACGTCACTGGCATGTGCCCTCGAGGCTGACTGGGTCTCAGGCATTGACTTTGCTGCGCTCACTGAGAGCAGAACATCGCTCTCTCGAACGTCGAAGATTGCCTGCTGAAGGATGTGTGCCTGCACCGACCGATGGTTCTATTTGGGAAGGTTTGCCGTCCGACCTCATCACAAGATGGGGCCATCTTCGCACACCACCGGAACCATGGACGAGAACCACCCTTCGGAGGGTGTGACAATATGCACTTGTGGCGCAGTGTGTGCGTTTCGTGCGACGTGCTGCTTCATTCTTACAGAGTGGACTGTGTCGGAAACGTATTCAATGATTTGTTTTCATGGTGGGCGACTCTAGACAGCAGTCGTCTCGGCTTGATCCTAACGTCTTATCGCTTAGTTTCGCTCCGCCAAAGCCGCCATCTCTGCCCATGGAAATGCAGAGCAGGCCTGAGCCCAACCACAAGCGGCGTTGACTGCTCTCAGGTTCTCGATCGGCAGTTGGGCGTTGGGAGAGCGCGTAGGTCGGCATATTCTCTTAGTTAAAGATCTCGCTCAGTTGGAGTCTGCTGAACGGGTTCCAAACCTCAAGGGCGGTAGTGCACACGGAAAGCCTCGGCAGCTGTCGTATACTGGTCGATACACACCTTCGCAAGAGATTTGACTTGCCCAACATGTATCTACTATCTCCTGGTCTATTGACACTCTTGCTTTCTGAGCTCTCGCTCTACCGTGCGACTTCAATGGGGATCGGACCGGGCCACTCAGAGGCGCCATTGTTCAGTCCAGCCCCCGCACCACTGATGAGAATCCTGAGTCATATGCTCCTATAAAAAACTGGGGAAATGCCGGATGAGACCCGCGGGGCAAAACGAGTCAGACCAGAGAATCTCCACAGGCCGCCACGGTCCCACCAATTGCGAGTCTCCGATAAATCTCTGACTCGCACGGCTTCGATTAGCGCCGAATCCATCACCAGGCCGTGTGTGCTGTCCCTTGCGATTGTCTAGGATTGGAAGAATCAGCCGCCGCCGGTGGGGTGCGAAATTGACTACGCATGTGCACCCTGGCATCCACTCGGGTGGTTTGTTCTGTCTTAATCTGGGGTCCGGTAGGTTTTGGCTCGTGCTTGCCCAATGCCCTAGCTTCCATGCTAAGAATATGATTCAAGATATCGATGACTGTCAGCAGCCCTACTGAGCCCGGATTTGCAGCGATGATCTCCAGGACCGGCCTGAAACCAACTTGGAGAAGCAGCCGTTCGATATCCAGCAACAAACTGCAATATTTGAGGCTGAGATTTTGAAGAGGAGCGCATTTCAGCGGGGGAAATCTCGTTTGTGGGTCCACATACACGTCAACGTGCTGTCAAGAGCTGTCACAATCCATCAAAGATGCGCGCGTCTAACACGTGGATTCTCACGCATAATTCACACCCGTTTCGAGTCATAACTACCGCTTTTGTTCTCTTGCCCTCGTCTCTCTCACGCACGGCCCGGTCGGAGCTTAGATTCCCAGTCGATTGCCACCGGAGATAACTACCACCCGGTGTGAAGTGGACTTTCGCTCTCTCAGAATGTTACGCCACAGCTGGCAATCGTTGCTTGGAGGCTAGCTCTGCACGATTCGTACAGCATAGCATCGCATCGGTGCATTTCACACCGGCGAAAATGATCTCATCTATCATGACACGCCACTGAATTGGACCCTGACTGCTTCTCTGGCAACGCGGTGATTTCCAGACCCTGCGCTTGGAAGAACAAGTCTCAGCTGTCACATCTGTGAAAGAGCGGCGGGAGAACATCAAAGCGAGTTCTATGCAGACTCAAATTCTGGAGCAGGCTCCGCTCTTCGGCGCGCTTTTCAGCGGTTGACTTCACTATGCAAGAGTATCTAATCTTTGATTGGGGGAGTCTTGGGATGGACAGATCAGGCCACCGGCAAGGGCTCATCTACCCTCAATGTCTCTGTGTGTAAAATTTGAATTTCTAATCGAAGCCCGAATAGGTCGATCTGTCCTCCCCCGTTTTTGGCTCAAATCTGGTTCTCAGAAGGAAGCGAAGGTGGCCAGGCCTCACAGGAAAGTCTGAATGGAATATCCTATTCTTACGAGGTTCTGTGCGCACTACACGTTGGGGACTTATTGCTCCCGTGGTCTGGTCCTTGTGCATCTCAGGGACGCGCGTCTCAGCGGCAGTCAGCTTCCTTAATGGGACAGGCAAACTTACTATAAGAGCGGCTTGCATCGACCGGTATTCGACAGCTTCCAGCTTCGTACAGTTCTCTCTATGTCTCGCAGGAACCTTGCAGTTAATCCCCCCGACTTGGTCGATGATGTTTGTGTCCTTTCCGTGTTGTCAGGTTGTACGCTTAACGCTGTTCCAGATCGCCCTCGATGGCGAGACCAAGGTGACCGTCAAGCCCGACCTGAATCCCGTCCCTTACGGCAAGGATGGACTCGAGATCACCCCCGGCATCCAGTGTGTTCCGTTCGAAAAGAGGCTCGACAACCACCGGGGTTCGGTATGTGCCTTTGACCATCTTGGATCCTCTCATCCGCTCATACCGCGAGCAGTCGCTTCCCGGAGCGTACATTTATCGTCTCAAAGTCCCTCGGCCGGCATCCGTTACGACTCAGTGGTCGCCGCCCAGCCTGCGAAATGTCCCGTCGGGTATAACTCAAAGCGACTTGCGTGACCCGATCACGAAACAACCCTTGCATCCTGAACGGACACTGACGGTGCGCATCTTACTGCGTTGACGGTTACATATCAGTGATGATGCATCTTTTATAGAACGGGGATATCTTTTGCGTCAAGAATGGCAAATTCACCCTCAACTATATGGATGAAAAGCTTCACGCCCCTCGCACAATGCGCGTGGTGGGAAAAGATAAGAATTACGTGAAAATTGAGATCTGCGGGGAGTTCATGACCTCCAATGGGCAGGTGAGTATCTGACTGATCAATTACCGCAGTAACTTACCCACCTTCCCTTGCTAGTTGCCCGGGCCCAGCTTCTACAAGTATCAGTACCGATTCGAGATGGCGGTTCAAGTACCGGCTCACGAGGTCATTAGCCGTGACTGGATTCCTAGATCTCAATTGGACACCGTTCCGAATGATATCTAACCCGGATTCAATACAAATTTCGTCGAAATATCTACAAGCACTGCTGTGTAAATCAATCTTCTATCCAGTGTCCGCGGCGAGCCCCCATGGCTCCATGGCTCCTGCGCGTGATGACTGAGGCCTCCCGTTGATGCTGGTGTTGAAGCGAAGTTACATCGAGAATTAGACCATCACTGACAAGACATGACTATGACAATCCTTCTCTGTGCGTCTCCGTAAGTGTACCACATCGAAATGTGGAATTCTGTCGTAGAAAATTCACAATAAGGGTCCAACATCCGAAGGCATGGCACTGGAACGACATGCACATAATCATCATCAGAGTCGCAGACCAAGCGGGCATCTACGGAAGTCCTTGAGTATCATGATCTATTGTTTTCACAGTATGAGAGCAAGCAGGATAACTCCCAGAGTGCATTTGAGTAAGAGCTGATTAGAGAAAAGTAGTAGATATATAGGGGCGTGCATATTACTCATTTGGGATTCCCATCACTTTCCATGTCAAGCATGACCAAAGCGAGGTTGTTTACTTCAACCGTCAGTCACCACTGGTCAGCTTGTCCTAAACTCGCCCACAAGCAGTGCCACTAGACGCAACTCGTCTGCGACATGGCCGCAGTCTCTTCGGAAAAGGACCTCATGATCCCCTTCTCCCTCGACGAGTACGAGGATCGTCTAATACCTGAGTTTCGACTGGAGGATCGACTCGCGTTCTGGGACGGTCCGATTCGTGCCTTTCTCTGTGAACGTGGATACGCGCTGTACAGGATCTGTTCAGTACTCGATGGTACTGACTGCAGTCTTATGTATCCAGCACTGGACACACCTCACCGATCCGCACTGGACGATGATCGCTATGCGTACATGGATCCCGATGAACAGGGATGTGTCTTCCGTAATCCGGAGGAGGGCCTCGAGAAAGATTATTTTCACTGCAGAGGGAGGGCATATGCTCGGGAGAATCGCGTGCGTCGATGTACACATGAGCTCAATTCGTCCTCGTTGACCCTAGGGCAACAGGGCAGAGCCGCGTACGCTCAGAGCATCGACAGGCCTGATCGACATGTTGCTATCAAACTCGTCCGCAACGAGAGCGTCGAGATACACACCCTCAAGCTCATATATGAAACGTCGAAACGCGAACCCGTCCGGGGTCTCATTCCTGTGCTCGAGATCATCCCGTTTCGCGGACACTGGCTCGTTGTCATGCCCAGGTGAGAAACACAGATAGTCTCTATCTCCCTCAATTGTCTGAATGTTTGCTACCCGCTCCCAGATGGGGAGAGGACATCATGTCTCCGTTTCCCACACTTGTTGGACCGACCTTGTCTCTCATTGAAGATCTGCTCGCAGGTCTGGCGTTTCTTCACAGCCACAACATCGTCCACCGGGTAATGTTCCCACTCCCACTGTACGAATGGTTTGCTCATGTCACGCAGGACCACTCCTACAAAAACATCCTCGTGAACCACATTCCTGTGGTCAGACACGAAGAAATCTATGATCCCCCACTGACTCGAGATCCGTTACGCAACGCAGGCTTTCTTCAGCACGCCATATTCGATTTCGATGTCGCTCTAGTATTCCCCGACCGCAGTTCTGCTCGGCTACCATACACGCTATTTTGGCTGGGATCACACAAGCCCACTGATGAGATATTTCAAGGCGAGTATGACTACGATCCTTTCGCGGCGGACGTGTCCATTCTGGGAGGGTATCTTTGTCGCGATCTGCAGGTGCGTGTGTAGGATTGTCGCAAATGCTATCCACTGATCACCTCTGCAGTATCACACACCCCATGTGCCCATCCTGGCACCCCTCTTCGATGGAATGCTTCACTGGCATGTTCCATCTCGGCTGACGGCTTCCCAAGCCTTGGATCTTCTCCGCTCATTGAGAGCTGAATACAGCGATCTGGACAAGCAGCCACTTTCTGTGATCAAGAGGCAGTCTGTCCCTGTGTCCGAATACGACCGGTGGGCAGGATTGCCCGACGACTTTGTCAGGCGGTGGGGTCATCTTCGGACCCCACCGGTTCCTTGGACGAGGGTGTTTCTGCGGAGGATCTGCAGATACAAATTCCTCGCAAGTTGCGTGCGTTTACTCAGACGCGCGATTTCGTGGATCGCCTAGTAGTGTGCACCTTTCTCTCTACCTTCCGTCTCAGATCCTCTGTTTCGGAAGCATAGGATAGGGGACATACAGTGCACGATCCATGAATGCAATGCACATCCGTTTACTTACAACTTGCGAAGGAGCTCGCTGGTCTTTGTCAGGGTGTCCTGTCGTCAATGTCGGGAATGCTTGGACTGGCTCCGTGTGTGGGCATGTGTAGGCAATTCATCTTGATCCAAGTCGCCAAGTCAGTAACACGTTCTCGAGAATACAAGTCTGAAGTCAATCCGCACGATCGCCGGTTTCGCGTCAGGTGCGTGTCACGAGACCGCGAACAGACTGTGTGGAATCATTCCATCAATTGCGAAGGACTGCCTACAACTTGTTCTCAACGATGTCGACAGCGATCTGAAAGTAGTGACATGACCGTCAGGACTCGGTTCACGACTGGACCAACTGGTTGGGGTTAGGCTGTCACAAGCAACTGGCAGGCTCCATGTAACTCCTAATGTACAAACTCATAGCAGCATCATGGTGACATCACTGCCTGACGCGCTCGAATATAAACCTTACTGGCATTCGCACCCTCACCAGACCGAAACAACCTTTCCTCTTGCCATGAAAACAACTGCTCTGCTCACCCTGTCGCTGGCTCTCAGTGGCGCCTCGGCGACGTCGTGGTTTGGCTCTGACAAACCCAGTGCGTCTCGGCTCCTCGTTTTCTTTGTACTTCGTTAATTCTGGTCAGCACCAGCATACAGCGAGTGGTCTATTGCAGAGCTTCGACAATGGCTCCAGGAACACAAAATCGTCGTCCCGGAATCCTTTTCGCAGCAGCAGCTGCGCGACCTCGTCCAGTCCAACTGGGATCTCGCGACCGCCTGGACATGGGACCAGTACTCGTCGGCCCAAAAGTCCTTCGCGGACCTGCGCGACACGACCTTCGACGCTTGGGACGAGTCGCGGCTGCGTGAATTCCTGCTCGAGCAGGGCGTCGTCGCGCCTAAAGGCCCACGTGAGCAGCTCGTCCTGCTTGCCAAAGCCAAGTACGCCGACTACCAGAACGCGGCGTCGACGCTCTCTGCGCAGGCGAGCACGGCGGTCTACGGCAGCCCCATGCACCAGATGACGAAGAGCGCGTCGAGTATGGCTGCACAGGCGACGCGGGAGGTGACGCGCCAGATGGATGACACGAAGGATTACGTGTACTCGACGTGGGAAGATAACAAGCTTCGGTCGTATCTCGTGGAGAAGGGCGTGCTGGCCAAGGACGCCGCGGAGAAGACGCGGGACGAGATGCTGGCGATGATGCGCGACACTTACGTCCGCGCCACTCAGCCAATCTGGGAAGCGTGGTCTCATTCGTACATGGTGCGTTTCTTGTTTCGCGTGTCGTTCTGCATCTTATTTTTCTTTTAGCGTGACTGGTTGATCGCTCATGACCTTATCACACCGCCTGCACCCTCGACGCCTGAGATCGTGAAAGCGAAGATGTCGCAGTACTACTATGACGTCAATGACCGCGCCTGGACGTCGTGGACCGACAGCGATATGAAGTCATGGCTTGTCTCGCACAACATCATCAAGTCGGACGCCCAGATCCAGCGTGAGAAACTCACGAAGCTGATCGAGGATAACTACCTCAACGCCCGCGATACGCTTTGGGAGTCCTGGAGCGATAGCCAGATGCGCGATTGGCTGGCCGAGCACGGGGAGAAGAATGTCCCTGCCAAGCGCGACCAGCTCGTCAAGCTCATGCAGAACAAGTACAACGACGCCGCCGGCATGTCTGCTGCATACTTGACGTGGCCTGACGCCCGGTTGCGCGCCTACCTGCGCAACCGCGGAATTGACGAGTCTGGATTGCCGACTTCTCGACCTGGACTTTTGCGTACGTGGTACTCGTTTCATGAGTGGGGCATTGCGTTGACTAGTGTTTCACAGAGGAGACTCGTATCCGTTGGGTTCAGGCTATGACCAGCATTGAGCGAATCAAGGAGCTCATCAACTCTGGCATTGAGATCACGGAGGAGAAACTGGCGTCTGTTTTGCAGCTCCTGTCTGGCCAGACCGAGAAAGCCAAAGCAGAGGGCGAGAAGATCAAGGCTGACGCGAAGAAGGTGAAAGCTGATGCCAAGAAGAACAAGGAGAACCTCAAAACGGAGCTTTGAGTGGTCGCGGACTCGTTCATTTCTTGTATTATTCAATCGCATTCATTTTGAGACTGTATCTGTAACTTTATAATCCAAGTTTTTGGACATGCTAAATCTATCTACGCGTTCCATCCCGCGGTAAAGGCATCAATCTGCTCGTGTCTCTTTATGGCGTCGTCCCAGGTCGTGATCTCTCCTCCACTCGCGAACCGTTCGTAAAGCAGACCGACATGCTTCCCGAAGACGGGAACAGGAGTGTTTGGATCCTCGGGCCAAGACTCGGAGGGACCACAATCAATCTTCTCGACTTTGTCCGTTTTGAAGTCGTGCAGCTCAACATCGACACCCTCTGCCGTGATGTGCAGCGTGAAGGCCGCCTGGTTCGTCACGCGTATTTCACCGTGCTCCCCGGTGATAGTCCACACGAGCGACGGCTCTCCAGGGAAAGGCGGGCCGCGGCGGAAGCGGAACAGCAGCGACGCATCGCGCACAACGGTAGACGACTGGGCGATGCGCGAGGTGACGATGAACAGATCTGGGACGTCGGATTCAACGGTGTGGGTGATCGCGTTCGTCACTGCGTCGCGGACGTGGCTGATCGGCCGCTGCAGCTGCAGGTGCGGCGTGATGTCGGTGGCTTCACCCAGTACATGCTGCACGATGTCGAAGACTGCGGATGGAGGTGGTCAGTGGGAGAAAGCTGCGCTGGAGCAGACTGCACGCACGATGTCCTCCGAAGATGGTGACGATGGTCCCGCCGTAAGACCGCTTCATCACGTACTCGAATGTGCTTGGGATGATGTCGCGCTCATAGGTGCCGCCCGACACGCGCAGCTCGGAGCTCAGGACCTTGCCGATCCGGCCCTCCTCGATAATCGCCTTCAGCTTGAGCGGCAGCGAGCCCACGCGGCCTTGGAACCCGACCATCGTGCGCCCGCCGGCGGCCTTGGCCGCGTCCGCCAGCTGCTTTGCGTGCTGCACATCGTGCGCAAGCGGCCACTCGACGAACGCGTCCTTGCCAGCCTTGACCGACGCGAGGACCGTGCCGAAGTGCTTGTCGACGCGCGTGCAGCAGACGAACTAAACACTACTCACCCACCTCTGTCGCGACATCAGATCTGCGCTGATGGCGGTCTAGACCGCACTACGTCATTGATGGAGGCACTTGAAATTCACAAACGAAGCGGGTTTTCAGTGCAAAAGATAAAATAGGTATTTACGATGGCTGGCTCGAGCCCAGTGTATTATTAGTGTATCTCCGTGCTGCTTTCCCACCATTTTGTCCCCACACAGTCTTTCTCACGCGCCCTGTTTCGTGAGAATGCCGAATGTCCTGAACGAAATGGGTAACATCGCGGCCAAGCTTTCGTCGTTTCACATTGCGCAAGAGTATCTTCGACTCGGACAGCTGCGAGAGCTGTCCTTCTAGGATATCCGCTCCACGACGCAGGTCCCGGATAAGTTTACGGGTATGGTCTTCGAGCTCATCCGACTATTCATGGTGTCAACATCAAGTATGACCCATAAACTTCACGACTCACATCATCAAAGTCTTCATCCGGATGAACGGCCGACTGAGAACGTGTCGACGAAGACGAAGCGGCGACTGGATCATCTTCGCTGTCAGTTAGCTGTCTCTCAGTGGACTCATCGGTCTGAGTGTTGCTGAAGTTGCGTTTCCGGGATTGCTCACTGACAGCGAGCTCTTTGGCCTGAGGGAGGTAAAACTGCTCCGGTGTGAGGTCGCCAGCAAGACGCGAGGGAGAAAAGTGAGAATCGTCGACGGAAGAACCATCTTTTGGCTTTAGAAGCGCGTGATGATAGAACGGAGTGACCCGCCTCCGATAAACTTCGCGGAAAAATCTGGGGTCAGGAGATTCAACGGATTGAACGAGATGTTTGCATAAGAGGAATGCATTGTACTTCTGCTGCCCGCAAGTGCAAGTCCACGTCGAAATGTCCGTGGTGTATGAGTCAGCATTAGAGTCCAGTTCACGGCGAGAAAGCTTCGCCCATTCCGATTTGAAAGCGGACTGCCACGGTGCAAGCTTCTTCGATCGGCCGAGTCGCCAATTTGGATCGAATTTGAGCATACTTGCTTCGAAAGTTGGAACGACATCGGTCACAATAAGATAAACGAGTTGATCCAGCCGAGGATGGAGGAAATGGTGTAGAGTTCCGTGCTTCAAGTTCTTCCAGAAATTCTCCACGGACATTGTGGTACGCCAGCGACCAATGAAATTCGGCTGGCTCGAACGTGCCCAAAGCCTCCATTTTGCTGGACAATACCACGCTTCCCACATATAGCCCCAAACTTCGCGTAGACCGCGCTGCTTGCAGAAAGTGTACATCTCGAAGACACAGTCGCGTCGGATTTGATCTTTGTTGTGTCGTTCTCCGTGACGTTCCGGTAGCAGAGGATGCAGGCAGCCATGTCGGATGAAAGTATGGAGGAGCTGCGATCGGTGCGGCGGACGGCAGAACTCGTAGTCGTCGCTGACACGGAAGCTGGTTCCGATTGGTTTCTCGCCGGGCTCTATCCAGGACGGCTCTGCTTCTGCTTGATTGACCATGTGAGCATTCTCTCGAATGAGATGCTCAGCATACTCCGCTTCTTCGTCTACGACATCCACGATATCTGATTCTTCCAGGCTGTCCAGGCTGCCGAGAAACTCGCGGAGCTTTCCGTCAACTTGGATGACTATTTTCGGTAGTTTGGGAGCCGTGGAGATAGCGGATCCATTCAGGCGGACCTTCAACATCGGCAGCATGACTTGAGCGACCTGAAGATTCTCCTAAGGGCAGGTTAGAAAGCACATATTCAATTTAATAAGAGAATGCATACAGGGGTCCGCTTAGCTGGATCCATCTGAGCGAGAGGCACAAAGTCTCTGTCGATGAAGTCGAATTCTTGAAATGCTTCTTTAGCATGATAGAATGCCGGTGGGCGCCCGATTACGGACAAACGACCGCGGACGGCCCTGATCCCATGCCAGAAGCAAAGCTGATGCTTGATGTCGTCAGGCAGTTCAGCAAGAAACGCGTTGATCTCGATGATGTCTTTATCGCTGAGGGATTGGATGGGAGTAATCTTCCACTTCGATGTGATGTCCCGGATGAGAGAGCGAATATATTTCTCCTTTTCACCGGGGCTAGGTAGTGTTGCCGTGGTCCAGTTCAGAACCTGAGTGAACCCGGTTCGAACTTGAACTGGACCCCAGGTCCAGTTCGCCGAGATGCCCGAAACCGGACTGAACCGATGGTCCGGTTCAAGGTTCAGCTGGAGGTGAAAAAATCTGGACCGGTCCGAACCTGTTCGAACCCGTTCGAACCTGAGTTTTTGGCCTGTAGTCATAGGCTCATTGGTAGCAGAAATACACCTCTGAGCATGCATGTTCCCACGGAATCAGCTATCATACCTATAATAGTGGACTAGCAGGTCATATGTGCTTCTCGTAGGCAATGTATTTACATGTGTGCGTGTGCGTGATAGATGGCAACTTTCTGCCCTTGGGATTCCTTTTTGGGAAGGACCCAAATGGGGCAATGACTGGCCGATGGCAGGTGATGGGCACCGAAATTCCCCGAAAATAATTATTTACTGAATAAGGAGGGTACAAATGCACATGGAATAATGTCTAAGTGTTGGGAACAAGCTTAGAATTGAAGTGAGCAGTTTTTTTTGTTCAGAGTTCAGTCAGAGGGGACAAGGAAGTGGCATTTACATCTAAATACATACAGTACTGTAGCTAGTAGGGACAAAGAAGCTTGTACAGTTACTTATGTACATGCACAGCAGAGGGCCTGAGGTGCTGTGTGGGACAGGAGGAGGAGAGGAGGGGACGACGTGCAAAGGGCAGGGGATGAGGGAGTAGTGGAAGAAAGAGAGAGGGAGGGCATCAGAAGTGATGCTGTGACCGCACGCTCACGGCGTCACTCCTGATGACCTCCCTCCGTTGAGTACCAGCGGCGGGGCGGCAGCCCAATGGCGTGGAAGGCCTTCCATGCGTGCACATCGCGTGGCACGACCAGCTGCTGGCAGGGGTGGGTTATCGTTGGGTCATCGCGTCAAACGGGAGAAGGGGGATGGGCAAGGGAGAAAGGTGGGAGGTCACGAGGTTGTCAACAAAGTTATTTACTGGACAAATACACCAATAAGTAAAATGAATTAGGATCCGGAGCCTCCGTGTGCACGTGCCGGACGCTTCCCAAAAAGGCAGCTTAGTCAGAAAAGTCAAGGGCAGAATGTTAAAATCTGTGCGTGATGCTTCAGTCTTGTCATGTGACTAGTACTCCAATGGCTCTAATCCCCTCAGGAAAGTCTCAGGTGCCTAAAATTGTTGCTAGGGACGTGAATCTTCACATGATGCACACCGCTATGATCAACGATGGCGCTCTGTACCTGTTGCATGTTGCATAGCGCGGGCATTTTGCACCCTCAGGTTCGAGGTTCGAACCAAGTTCGAACCTGAACTTGACCCGAAAGAACCGAACCGCAGGTCCGGTTCACCCGCTTTGACCGAACCTGAACCGGACCTCAGGTTCAGTTCAAGGTTCGCAGAATTTGGGTGAAAACCGGACCGAACTGAACCGCGGCAACACTAGGGCTAGGATCATTTGATCGAATCAGGAGAAACCCGAGTGGGAGACCCGATCCATAGACTTCTCCCAGTAGCGCAAAGCACTCATAGCCTGCCTTGTTTGTTTTAACTGCCAGAGTAAAATGAAACTTGCTTGGCAAAAATTGATCCGGCACTTACAGGTCGAGTCGAGTGCGACCTCAACAATTGCACCACCCCACCGGCGAATAAGTGATGGCAATGCAAAGCCAAATGCGGTGTATCCATCGTTGTCTTCGGGAAAGACAATGGGTTCGACATAGCCCTCTTTTGAATTACGCAGCGCTTCAAGCAACATCTTGGCTGATTTAACCTCGTTGTCATCCAATCGCCACTTCGAATTGGTCTTCAGTAACCAACGATTATAAATCTGCTGTCGAGTGAACATCGGTTGCGGATAGACAGCAAGAATCTTCTTCCAGATCTGGTACGAAATGAGAAGCTTGCATGGGAATAGATAAAGGAACGCACCTCGGTGACTCGGAGCTCCAAGTTACCATCTACAAGCTGCTTAACATCTTCCGGAAGATCAATGCACTTGTACTTCAGGTGCAGATCATTGTGGGCGTAGCGAATGAAATATTGATCTTGATTTTCTGCAGCCCAGATCGTTAGATAGCCCTCACAGTCGAAGGTGTCCATCTGGCCCTTGTCCCGTTGCTTCTTCATATCACCGATCTTCTTTGGCTTATGCTGACGAGATGCAAGCTGTGCACAGTGGTATATAAAGCGTGTTGTTTGACCGTCTTTAGTAGTTGTTGATCTCAGATATCTAAACGGAAATAAGACCTCCTCTGCACGCTATAATAAGACATACTCACATGAAGCAATAATCTGTTCTTTCCCACACATAAGCTGCAATTTGATCTACTACAGGCTTGAATGCCAACTCCCCATCTTTTGCTTCACGCAAGTCCGGACTGTCGACTACGCAGGAAACATTGACAAGAGCGCAAAGGTGATGTACGTCCGTAATGCCATTGGAAAGCGCGTCAAGAAATGCCACCAGAGGAATGGCTTCTACATCTGTCAATGAGGTAAGATCTTGTGTCCGGTGACACGAGAAGCGCTCACTGATGAAGTCTGATGCGTCTTCTGTGTTGTCATTCTCACTGTCCACGGCTTTGGCGGTGCCTCGCTTCTCCGCCGCCCGCCTTGCATCCTTCTCGCAACAGGACCGACAACGAGTATTGATCACAACGCCTCCGGCTCCAAATTGGGCTCCCCAGTGCTTTGAAGTTCTTGGAAACGTGTGTTTGCACTTGGTGCATCTTTGCGCGCTCATTTTCTGTTGTTTGACGCGTAAATGAGAAGGCTGGAAGACGCGAGAGGGCGGAGCACGTGCTCCCGCCGTTTTCACGATGCACGCATCAACAATCCAATAATCTACAATCTCTTATCCACACAAATCAATGACGTAGTGCGGTCTAGACCGCCATCAGCGCAGATCTGATGTCGTGACAGAGGTGGGTGAGTAGTGTTTAGTAGCAGACGACGAGCTGGACGTCCGCGTCGGCCGCGAGCTCCTCGGGCGATCCGTAAGTGCGTGCGTCCACGGGGAGATCGTAGTGCTTGATCGCTTCCAGGGCGGAGTCCTTGGACGAGTTGAGGACTGCGACCAGACTTATTATACGGGCATGGCAAACGGGCATGTCCCGCCAAGCGGAGTTTGAATTTCGCTTGGCGGGCATTTGATGGCGGGCATGGGCATGGGCATGGCTTGTGCCCAACTTTTTGAACCTTGGGACATTGTTTGGTGTCGGACGGACGCTGTGGACATCGCGCTGTCGCCGGGTTGGTCGCTCTGCAATCGGTCGAGTCCGGATCGGAACTGGTGGTGATGCAAGGCTTCCCACACTAATCAACCTTCGTCGTCGCCGTCGGGTGGCCTCAGCTTAAGATCAATAGACTAAGTTGAGCTATTCTACGTGTCATTGAATAATACAACGACCTGATTCTTTCTATTACCATGCCCCGCCTTCCTTTTTTCTGCGCCACCGTTGTCTGTACTGCCTTCCCTTCACGCGTTCTCTTTGCCCTTTTTGCTGGCCGTGCTTGCTCTGCACCAGTGCCCGAGTCGCTCTCGTTGTCCTGCACGCGTGCTGCCGCATTCCGAGCTATGGGCTTTGGTCTTGGCCTCGGTTTTTGTTCTCCAATTGACTCCTCGTCCATTGCGTCGCCGCGCGGAGCTGGAGGCATTGTATAGATGGGATACCCGGCGTCCAATTTAGGAGAACCTGACGTACAATAATAGAACACGCCAGCACTTTAGAGGGAATGCGACCACCTGAACACTTTTATCTCAGCTCCATAGGCGAGAGATCTGCTCAGCTCTTCCGAATGCCAAACAGGACAGCCTGCACATAATCGACATCACCCCATCTCGACTGGATCATATCCGCACTGCAGACAGAAAATGTTGATTGCATCAAGCAATCAGGCATGCCATCAAGCGAGCGGGCATGCACTCGATTCTGCGCACTTCATGAGCTTGTTGGCTAGTAAGGCAGTCATAATCTCTAGATAAGGTGTCCTAGAAACTTGGATCACGGCGGCGCGGCAAGATATAAGCTCGGAATTTAAGCAATCAAGATGCGGACGCATGCCTGTTTGTCAGATGGGATCAATTTGGACTTCGAGGCTAACCAGTACACAATGTAGCCCCGTATGCATTGAAAAATGGAGGTGTAGGGGTGAAGGCGTAGTCCTAAGCCATGAATCTGAGACCTTTCCTTGACTTTGAGATGCTGCCTTTCTCCTGAGAGTCAGTTATCATCAACTGCATAGAAGAAAGCTCAGCGGGCGGGCCATCCCGTCTCCGCAGAGCCCCGTAGAACAATCATGACGTGAAAAGCCCGCATAATTTCGTGTCTGAATCAAGCTACAACACTCCCACGCGGTCTGATTTGCTGAAAGCCAGCGTCGAAGCAGCATCAGTAATGTAGCGCGCAGCAGATCTCTTGAGACATCATTGCTAAGTGCATTGGTAGGCCTGACATGCTTAAATACAGCCCATAGGGAAGCCTACAACAAGTAAATACACATTATTTATGGCCTGAGGCATGCCAAAATGTTGGCTTGGCATGCCCGCAAACGGGCATGCATGCCTGATTGCATCAATTTCAAGCCAAACCTGTCAAATGCCCATCAAATGCCCGTTTGCGCGGGGGAATGCCCGTTTGGCATGCCCAAAACGTTGGTCTCGGACTGCGACGATGGCGTAGCGCGATCGCCCGTGTGCAGAGAGCAGATAAGGCAGATGCGCGGATGGGGCCCATGATGTGGGTGCGTTGGCTGAGAGGCCGATGAGTGCTGTGCGGATCGGGGCCATGGTGCTTTTTCTATGTCTGATCACATCGAAAGGGGAGACCGATTATATACTGTAGAGGGTGGCCACATTGAAGCTACTGCTTAGCTTGCTTGCTGACCAGCTTACTGAGAAGAAAGTGTTGACGTCGAGCCCGCGTCGCACCCGGATGACAGTCAGAGACAGGGAGAAAACTCCCGAATCAATATCCAAACCAATGTACAAACATTGATGGACCCTATCTTAACAGTCCCCCTCGTGCGAATGACCGCTGCGTCTGAGCACGACCCACAAATCTGAAATTTCGTCACTTGAATTCCAGGCCTTGGCCTTTCACGTATCCATATCGCGCCAGCCGCCCGTAAGCCATGACGGTTTCCCTTTTTGAGTGCCCACTCCCACATGCGTGATTCCGCCTTGCCGCTCCGT